GGGAGGAATAGAGGGATTGAGCAAAAAATAAAAAAATAAAACTCATGGACACTGACAACAGTATGGTGACTGCGAGGAGGGGGGCGGGAAGGAGGCGGCTATGGGGGGGTAAATGGTGATGGACAGAGACTTGACTTGGGGTGGTGAACATACAATACAGTGTACAGATGATGCATTATAGAATTGTTCACCTGAAACCTGTATAATTTTGTTAACAAGTGTCACCTCAATAAATTCAATTTTAATAAAAAGGTTTATAGGCAAGACATAAATAGCAATCATAGGCAAAAAACTAAAATGGAACCAAAGAAAAGAAAAAAACGTATTTAATATACAAAACTTCATGTTAAGAATTCTGCCTCCAGTAATAGCAAACTAAGTAGTACAAACCAATTCTTGCTGAGAATTGGAACTAGAGAGCAGATCCAAAGACACCCCTTAAAAGGCATTGGAGAGCTTTAAAAAAGGAATAAAAAACTAAGAAGCCAAAATTCAAAAGAAAGAATCCCAAAGAGGTGAGCCTATCAATGAGATGGTTTCCCTCGGGATCTACTGCTTCATGAGGCAGCTGATTCAACTTCAACAGCAGTTAAGCAAAGCTGTTCTTATGGGAGTAACGGCATAAAACCTCAGTTCAGAATCTGCCGATCATGGCAGGCGGTGGTCCTGGTAAACATCATACTTTAGGAAGAGACCACAAAGGGCTACACCCTAGGAGTAAAGGTAAACCAAAATTAGACTGGCCCTTCTAAGGACTGAGGCTCAGCTCTAATCAGCAAAATCTCAGAAACTGAATTAAAGTGATCTGAGATTGCTCTAGCTCTTTGCTCCTTTTCAGAAGCAAACATAAATCCTGTCTGGAAGATATCATCTCCCATGGCCTCCAATTATTTCAACAACTTTTCCTGTAAAAGTCCACCACTCAATGACACATGATGTTTCAAGACAATGTGGCATGTCCAGCAGAGATGGCTCAGTAAATAAGGGCTGACCCATGAACCAAGAGGTCACCAGTTCAATTCCCGGTCAGGGCTCATGCCCAGGGTTGCGGGCTCGATCCCTAGTAGGGGGCATGCAAGAGGCAGCCAATCTATGTTTCTTTTTCATCGATATTTCCCTCACTCTTCCCCTCTCTCTCTAAAATCAATAAAAACATATTATTTAAAAAAAAAAAGCTAATGTGGCCCAAGTTCAAGAGAAAAAGACCTGTGGGGGATCCAGAAAACAGTCATCAGAATACAAAAGCCATCTAAATCTAAAATTTAATAACTAAAACATAAAATCTAACATAAACTCTAAAACATAATTAAGGAAGTAAAAGTAACATTGAGACCCTAACAGAGGACTAGAAATTATAAAGAAATTATTAAATGTAAATTCTGTAATTGAAAAATACAATAACAAATTAAGAACCCAATGGAGCCCCGCTGGGTGTGGCTCAGCGGTTGAGCGTCGACCTAGGATCCAGGAGATCGGGGTTCGATTCCTGGTCAGGGCACATGCCCGGGTTGCGGGCTTGATCAATGACTCTCTCATCATTGATGTTTCTCTCTCTCTCTCCCTCTCCTTTCCTCTCTCTGAAATCAATAAAGACATATTTTAAAAAATAAATAAATAAATAAATAATATATTCAAATTGCTAAACGCTGTTTCTATGCCCTGGCCAGGTGGCTCAGTTGGTTGGAGCGTTGGCCTGAAAGCCAAAAGGTTGCAGGTTTGATTCCTGGTCAGAGCACATACCTAGGTTGCAGGTTTAACCCCCAGTCAGGGCTCATATGGGAGGCAACCAATCTGTTTCTCTCATATCGATGTTATTCTCTCTCCCCCTTCCTCTCTCTAAAAAAATCAATAAAGCCCAGCCGGGCGTGGCTCAGTGGTTGAGCGTTGACCTAGGATCCAGATCGGGGTTTGATTTCCGGTCAGGACACATGCCCCGGGTGCAGTCTCAATCCCCAGTCAGGGGCGTGAAGGAGGCAGCCGATCAATGACTCTCTCATCATTGATGTTTCTATCTCTCTCTCTCTCCTCCTTTCCTCTCTCTGAAATCAATATATATTTAAAAAAAAAAAAGAATGAAGGTAAAAGAAAGATATTTTTAGAGCAACAAAAACAGAATTCATTATTAGCAGACCCTAACTAAAAGAAATTATATGGATATTCTTCAAACAAAAGAAAATCTCAGATGGAAAGTCAGAGATTGCATAGTGGTTGTATGTAATAATAGTAATCACCACCACCATCATCAAAATGTGTTATGGAGTTTAAATAGAGAATTAAAATATAAAACAATAGTAGCTTATAAGACAAATACAGTAAAAAGGAATGTTTTTTGATCCTTGTAATGTCAAGAAAGAAGTAAAAAAGAAAAAACAACCCCACCCAAATTTTTATTGAATATTAACACGTAAAGGAGACAAATTATAATTTCCTGGGTAATCAATAAAATAATTAAAAATCAGAGGAAGAAAATTGGAATAATAAAGCAAAACTCCCTCCCCAAAACAAAGTCTAGATGAAACGAGGAGAAAGGGAATAAAGAGAACAGATTCGAACCCCCGTACACTGGTAATTCCATTAAGTATAAGCGAAGGAAAGATTACGGGACTGGTTGAAAAATAAATCTAACTCTGTGTTCTTTATAAGAGAAACATTTAAGATATAAGGATATAGCCCTCACTGTTGTGGCTCAGTGGTTAGAGCGCTGGCCCTGGGACACAAGGGTCATGGGTTCAGTTCTGGTCAAAGGCATGTACCTGTGTTGCAGGCTCCACCCTGGTCGGGGCATGTGTGGGAGGCACCCAATCTCTGTGTCTCTCTCACACAGACATTTCTCTCTCTCTCGCTCTCCCCTCTCCCCCCTTCCACTCTATCTAAAATCAACAGGAAAATATCCCGGGTGAGGATTAACAACAAAAAAACAAAACTAGCAAACAAATGTTAGATGGTAATTTCCTTAATTGATAAAAACCTACAGCATACAGGACATTTAAAGATAAAATACTGAAAAACTTTCCCAATAAGTCAAGGAAACCTGACATATTCACTTCCATTTAATATTGTTCCAAGGAGCAGTCAAGTAAAGCCAGACAAGGAAATGAAGGTATACAAATTAGAAAGGTATAAAACTGCTCTTCTCAGATGACATAACTGTATGTATAGAAGAAAGAACCCAAAGAATCTACTGATATTTATTACAGCTAATAGCAAATTTAGCACAGTTGCTGAATATAAGGTGAATATGTTTTAAAAATGCATTTCTGTTCAGCCACAACAAATGGAAATGAAGTTAAGGAAGATAATATTAAAATAATGTTTCAACAACTTTGGAAGAAATCTAACAAAAGATGTACAAAAATCTGTACACAGAGAGATCCTAAAATACAGAAAGAAATAAAAACCTAAATAGAGGGACGTATAATTTTCATAGATTAGAAGGTTCAATATTATAAATATATCAAGTTTTCTGTTCTATAGATTAAATGCAATCCAAATTAAAAGCCCAAAAGCGTTGTTGGTTAATTGGTTTGTGAAAGGTGACAATTTGATTTTTAAAAGTATACAAAAATTCAAAGGGCCAAAAAAAGCCAAGATACTTTCAAAGAAATATAAGAGGGAGGACTTAGTCTATTAAATATCAAGACTTATTATAAAGCTACAATATTTAACAATGTCACATTGACACAGACAGACATTAGATCCCAAATGTCCATCAACAGCAGAATGGATATAGTAACTAAAAAATATTCATATAACAGAATACAACACAGTAATGAAAATAAGCTTCTATTACAACATAGTTGTATCTAGCAAACATAAGTGGGAAAAAAACAAAACAAAGAAAAAGAATAGATGCTACATAATTTCTTGTATATAAATTTCTAAACCAGGCGAAATTAATACAGTGCTGAGGTCAGACAGGAAGTAGTGTTCAGGAGTGGCAAAAAAAAAAAAAAAGTGATTTCCAAGCTGTTGGCAATGCTTTTTCTTTACCTGGGATGTGCGCGGGTATAAAGCTGTGATAACTCACTGAATGCAAGTTTGTTTTTTTGTTTTATTTTGTGTGTTTTTAAAATATGCTTTTTATTGATTTCAGAGAGAGAAAGGGAGAGGGAGAGACAGAAACATCAATGATGAGAATCACTGATCAGCTGCCTCCTGCACGCCCCCTCCTGGGTATCAAGCCCACAACCTGGGGACGTAGCCTGACCAGGAATCAAACTAGTGACCTTTTGAGGCACTGGACGATGTTCAACCAATTGAGCCACACTGACCAGGGCCACATGAAACCTTATCTTAATCTTAGACAAGAACTGACACGGTTTTAGCTTTCCTTCATGAAAGGTTTATGATACCTCTGTTTTGCATTTATTGGCAGTTAATGTCACATCATTTTCATCCACTTGTGAAATACTTTCCAGTTCTTCAGCCTGCAGTGTAACTGATCCTTCACTTAGTTGTGCCTTGGAGTGTTCATTTAAATCTCCTGTAGAAAATATACAATATTCAACTTATATCTATACACTATCTCACAATAACAATCTGTGAGATAAGGATCACTCAACATAATTGCCAAGGAAGAAATCTTTTTACTCAAATATCAGTCATCCTCAAAAAAACTAAATAAATGTACAGTTACTAAGACAAAGGACCATACCATGTTAATTTGGCTAAACTCTGCAAAGTCCAAACTTTGGACAAAACTAGATTTCAATTTTTCCCCTGCAAATACTGACAAACTTATTTAAATATTTTTCAGCTTTAAACATTTCACAAATACACAATAAGTTGAATTAAAAAATGATTACTTCTTTACAATAGTGGAAACTCAACTAATTTATGTATGTATAGCCTTTTTATTCCAACTCCCCTATTGGAATACAGGCTCTCTAAGGACTGGAGCATATCTTTACAATTTTATATCATATGTAGCACCAGGCATTATACAAGCAAAAAGTAGCTGTTTGCTCATTGTATGCTAATCAAAAAAGTTTGATTTTAAATATTTACCATAGATATTTATCATAGACTATCACAGTCTAAATCTCAAAATACCTGTTTATTTAAAAGTCTATCTAAATAGTAAGTATAACAGTTATAATTCATTAACTCAGTGGTATAATAGACCAGAGTTAACTAGTCCATTTTAACAAATTATATTTCATTTACTTTGATTTTTACAAAAGCATTTAGGTATATTTTGGATGACTTGTTTCCAATTTAGATTTAAAAGGCAATGGGAGATTATGTAAGAATCAAGTCAGTAACCAATACTGAGAAAATTCTGAGTGGTTTATACATTTTCTCTCATTAAGAACATAATCACACAACCACTTAATTTATGGGTTAAAAAAAGGATTACTAAAAATTCCTTCATTTAATCTATTACCTGAATATAGATCATGGTTAAGATGAGCCATTTCTTTTTCCAAATTACTTCTTGATAAATCAGATTTTCTTATTAAAGCAACAGGTTCTCTCTTCTCTGGTGATCTAATAAAATAACCAAATGATGGCTACAAAATAAACATGCGAATTATTTCCTTAATTTTCAACTGCTTTAAGAAATTCTAGCTAAATGACTTCAACAAAATGATTTTTTCTTTCCATTTAAACTTAAATGACTAGAGATGAACTTTAAAAGTCCAAACAGAACCTTCTTACTGCTAGCTATCTTTAATCATCAGAACTAATATTATCAAGTAACTTGCCTTTACTAAGAAATCCAAATTAAAACAACCCAGAAATGACACTTTATTCCTTCAGTAATAATTATTGAATATCTACTATGTGTCAGATACTCAATTTTTGGTTGATCTTCACTTCGGAATTTCTTCCCTTGATACAGCAACTTGAATGCGAGTAACATTTCACAACCAATACCAAAATAGAAATTCCAAATGATAGATCCATTTTTCCATGATCCAGTGCTTTGTTCAACTCTTTAGGAAGGAATTCAGTTACTCTTTAACTTCACTCATAACATCAAAAATTCCAATCGATCCTGGCAGAAAAATCAGACTCTCTGAGGTATTGATTTCCATTTTTTTAATTCACTGCACAGACAGGACCCACAGTTCAGTTTCAAATTTAAGTTCTGTAAATCAACTGAGTTCTAACACAAGAGCTATTATTTTAAATTATGCTCTTAGTGAAACCCAGTTTTAATAAACACTCTGTCCGCCCCGGCCGGTGTGGCTCAGTTGGTTGGAGTGTTGAACCCGTACACCGAAAGGTCTTGGGTTTGATTCCCGGTTAGAGCACATACCTAGGTTGTGGGTTCGATCCCCAGTTGGGTGAGTACAGGAGGCAACTTATCGATGTTTCTCTCTAACATTGATGTTTCTTTCTCTCTCTCCACCTCTCTTCAAAATCAATTAAAAAATATACCCTTGGGTGAGGATTAAAAATAAATAATAACAATAAAAAAATAAACATTCTGTCCAATAACTCTTAACTCCCTATATGGAATTTATCAACAGGTTCTTTGACTGTAACTCTAAAAGAAATCTTGAGTCCCTGAATATTTCTGTTTCTGCAGTATCATCCCAGCACCCAGCCTTCATCACATCTCTTCCCACGTACCAGGCCTCTCTGCCTGCTTCTACTCCTCCTCTGTGGTTCACCAACCTTTTCCACCCAGGCTCTTGACACATATGCTGGCATCCTGTCACGCTTAGAAATGGGCCCTGGCACCACAACAAAGTTGCTCCCTGCCTCCAAGAACTTCTTCCCAGTTAATTTGAGATGAACCAAATCCTTCAAGGACACTTTGTGATCTGTCCCTTGTCTACTTCTACCATTTAACCTATCAGACCCTCCTTCACTCCCCCACCCCACAGTTCAGTTTCAAACTTAAGCTCTGTAAATCCACATTAGCTCTGTTACCTGTTCTCTGTTCCTCCAATATGCCACTCCAGCTCCTACCTCCTACCTTCATATTAAGGGTCTCCCTCCAGATCCTTCTCTCTCACGTAGGTCTAGATGTCACCCGGACTGCCACAGCTAAAGTAGCACCTCCTTACTCGTTCTTCACAGTTTATCACTAGTGTTTGCATTTTTAATTTTTTACGTGTATTACATCTTATTAAACCAAAACACTCTTATATTTCAAAATATGTTTTTAGACAACAGATTAAAAAAATGCATCTTTAAATTTTTTCCACCTACCAATGACATAACCATAGTAAATAACAGGTACTGATATTACTGCATGTTAGGTTTGGTGCTAAATACTTTATATGCAACATCACATTTAATTCTTACAAAACTCTATAAAATAGCATTCCATTTTAGAAATTGGAAAATTAAGGCAAAGTGGAGTTAAGTAAATTATTCCATGTCACAGAATTAATTAAAAAGCAGAGCTAGGACTGGGTCAGAGTCTGACTGACTATTAAATATAAGCTTTTGCCCAGCCAGTGTTGCTCAGTGGTTGAGCATCGACTCATGAACCAAGAAGTCCCGGTTCAATTCCAGGTCAGGGCACACGCCCAGGTTGCCAGCTCAATCCTCAGTAGGGGGCGTGCAGGAGGCAGCAGATTGATGTTTCCATCTCTCTATCCCTTTCCTTTCCTCTATCTCTAAAAAATCAATAAAAACATTTTTTAAAAATCTAAACTTTTATCCACTATTCAAACATGTCCCTATTCTGTCTCTGCTTTAAACATATTATGCTCTAGGTACACCATCGTAACATTCAAAATATAACGGCTGGTCAATTTACCCACTTCCAGCGCATCTCATACTTACTCTTTTCACACTGTAACCACCACCAAGGCAACCAAGAGCTTCAGATCTTTGAGCAAAGAACTCTCCTAAAGATAGCCGTAAGTAACTGGCATCATCTTTGTCCAAATCTGATGTGCTAAGTGATTTCCTCAACAAATTGTAATTAACTGAAGTTCCCCACGACGTATCCCCTAGTGCAACTGAAGTGTTCTGGGCATCTATGTTTTCTTCCTAGGAAGAAAGTTATTGTTTCATTTTATTTCCCCAGCAAGCCTTTCTGTTCTTCCCATATTAAAAAATAAAAAAATAGTTAAAAAAATTTAAACATTTAAAAATTTTTAAATTTGGACAAATTCAAGCTTAACCAGCTAACACAGGCAATGAAGTCCAGAAGAAGAGAACTTCATTTTTCATACTTGAGTTATAATATACAGTTTTAATATTTTAGTTAATCAAACACTGACTTTCATTAATACAAATCTTTAGAAAGGAGCATATTTTCAATAAAAACAAACAGTGTTACCTCATTTTAAAATTTGGTTAAAAACTGGAAATATCTTTGACTATTAAGGTGATTTTAAGCAAATTAAATATTTCTGTATGCCAGTTATTTTTCAATCAATAATTTAGAGTGTGAAGAAAAAAAACAGAAATTGTCTAAATATGAGACAAGATATAATTCTATACTAACTATATATCTATTCAGATAGAAATAAAAATTTTGCTACATTTAAATTAATACAGGAAAAATTTTAAACTTTGGTTAATGCCAATAAAATACAAACCTGCATAAATTGGTGCTCTTTATTAAATTCTTCTTCATCTTGTGCAATCAATTCCAATGCCTCAGCTTAAAAAGAATAGGTGTGTAAAATTATATTAATGCCAATTAAATACTAGCATATAAAAAAAACTTAGCCAGTTAGAAAAATGAAATCTTAATTAAATAAAGATTAAAGAAATAAAGAAGTACGTGAAAACTTCTCTCACATAACTGATGCATCTGCATTAAGTACACAGTCTATGGTTCTCAAACTTTTGGTAATAGACACCCTACTGTGATTGATTTCATCAGTTACTAATGCGCCCTAACTCACTAAAGGGGCTTTACAGTCTAAGCTTTTTGTTTTTAAAAGACTCACATTAACTTTAGCTTTAAAGGTTTGGCACACCTGAGTTAAGGTACTTGCCCATGAACACCCTTGGTATTTCACCTGGAACCACTGGACTGACAAGCCATTCTCAAAACTCATCATGAAGATGTCTGCTGGGTTGCCCAACCACACATAACTGTCCGAGTTTTAGAAAGAAAAACTCCCACATCCTAGCAAACCCTACAGCCTGGGAAAACAGGGACAAGTGGTGACCCGGTATCTATCCTCAAAGTTCCTATGAGCACCCAAAAGGCCCCTTGAGCTTTCCTCCTGTTCCTACATGCCTGTTCCAGGGTAACCACTGCCCTTGCTTCTTACTTCACGGAACGTGGTATGTTTGAACTGTAAACAAATAGAATTATATAGTATATATTTTTAGTCAGCTTTATTTTATTCAACATATTTATGAAATTCATCCACGTTGCTACAAGTGGCTACACATCATTCATTCCTATGGCTACAGAGCATTCCAATGTATAAATAAACACAATCCACTCCATCATTAACGGCAATTTCAGAGTTTCTAGTGTAGAGTCAATTAATTAATACATACAGTGCCGCTATAAACATTTTAGTACGTCTTTTGGTGACTTTCTACACCCCATATACTAGGTATATACTGGGTTATAAAGTGTGAAGTTCATAAAGTTCATTCACAAGATACTGCCAAACAAGTTCGGAAATGATAGTATCAATTTACACTCCCACCAGCAACACCTAAGAATTCCATTATCATTAACTTAAGTGGCAAAGTCAATATTCACTGTCCAGTGTGTGTTTTCTAAATCAAGACATCACTGAGCAAGCTCTAACTGTAACTTAACCTACAATTTCTGACTCATATTTCCAACTACCAAATATTCCCAGCCCAAACCACAATCATCCAAAATTCTACAATTTCTTCTGATTTTCCCTATCTCAGTTAATAGTATTGGCATTTTCCCAAGTAACAGATCACAAACATCAATTCTGTCTTGCCTCTCTACTATCCACTGAAACTCAGCCATAAAATCCTAACCATCCTATCTCCACGTCTTTTATTAGCTACTTTCTTTTTATTCTCACAGTGACACCGAGACTTCTACATACTAAGGAATCTCCCATTAAACTGACCATTGCTGCCGGAAGACTTGCAAAGCAAGGTGGACAAGCAAATCTTCAATGGTTCTTATTGCTTACCAAACAAGCCTCAAATCTTTGGCAAGGGAGTCAAAGCTCTACACACTCCCTGGCCCCCCTGTACCTCTCCAGCTTCCTTTCTTCATCTCATACTGCCCTCCCCTTCCCATGTCTTGCCATAAATGCCAGCTACATTAAACTATTTACTATTTTGAAAACATGCTCATACTTTCTCATCTCATTCTCTTTCAATGGGCTTTCCATCCTTTTGGAATTTCTCATTCCCCCAAATATTTACTTGTTGAAGCTCTACCTCAAAAGCCACCTATATGAAATCCTTCTGCTACCCACTCAAGCAAAAGTTATTTCTCCTCTAAACTCCAAAGCATTTGGTTTGTGTTTCTTATAGTTGCAAACTGTTGTTTTGTATTCTTATCTTGTCCCTCTCAGCTGATGAACTGTTTCTTAAGGGCTGACAAATTGCCTTATCTCTGTACTTCCACATCGTCAGATGTTTACGAGTTCAGTACAAGAAGCAGTTAGAATAACTTCTTTCTCTGGCACCTTCTGAGCCCATTAAAAATAAGACTGTGCTTAACAGGCCACTGCACACTCTTCTCATGCCCAGTTTAGAGGTGTTCAGGGACCGGAGAGGCCTGAGCAACACAGCAGCATATCCACAGACTAAGACAAAATGCCACACATTCTGTAGACCCACTCCAGTTTTCTTTTCACTGTGAGAGATTCTGCTAATCAACAAACCTAATTTATGTTCCTAATACGGTCCTTCTTTGAGATTTCATTTATCTTATCTCTTTTCTTCCATCATTTATACCACATTTCTTAGCTTTTACTCCAAAATGGACTGACTTTTGTAATTGCTCATTTATCAGAATAGTTCTTTTGTTAAAGACAGATTTTAAAAAGTGAGAAAGTAAAGCCTTCCAATTTTGCAATACTATAAAGGTTCTAAATTGAAGTAAGAGAGTGCTAGTCTAATTCACTGTCCTTTAAGGAAAAGGCTCAGCTCACTCTGCAATGATTAGCACTTATTCAAGCCTTTGTTCCTATAAAAACAAATCAAGAGCTAAGTATTGTATATTCCAGAAAGGATCTGATCTAACCAACCATCAGAACACCATCAGAAACAATGAAAATGGTACAATAAAGTGGCTATCAATATACACTTACAACCAGTTCTGAAGTCTTCATTCATCTCATCAGTTGGAGGCATATTTAAATCTTGTTCTTTGTTAAAAGATGTGTAATAAGCAAGGTCAGTGACCCATCTACCTTCTTCATTTTGATAAACCACGCTCTGCGGTAGATCAGTTTCTAAAAAATAAAATTCCAAAAATATCCAATGACACATGCAAGAAGTAAAATGATATACTTTAAATAATTTAGTTGCCTTATTTTAGCTATCAACAGTCCTAAAATCTGCCCAAAACTAGTCAGAAAAAGGAAAATCAATTTCCCCCAAAGAAAAGTATCTTTCTGGTGGTAGATAAACCACAGAACTTCTCAACTTATATGTATGGGATAAGTCCTTTTGTAGGTTCCTGTAAAGGTTTTAAAACAAAATGCAAAATCTAAAACCAATGTCCTCCAGTCAGTTCCCAAATTAATGTTACTTAAACAAACAAAAATTAACAGCTCGGTCACATACCCCTTTAATATTGTTCAGACATCCCTAAAATCTCCCTTTTTTTTAAAGTATGGAAATAGAACTCAAAATATTCCACAATATAGTATGAAACAGATGGAGTATTTAGGAAAGACTTTGTTGTCAGATGACACAATATTGTTTTATTTCTTCAATATGTTTGAAATGTTTGTTTTCCTAAAAGACCAAAATTATCATCTATATTAAGATACATTTGACTGTTGTAAGACTTCAGAGTGGAAAATAACCTCATCAATATTTTATTATAAACGTAACACTAGTAACAAATTATAGAAGGAGCCAGCACTCTACTCAGATATACCCAGGATTAAATCTCATCATGATAGAAATATTCATCATGAAGCTGTTGGCCATAATCTGTGGCTTCACTGGTAAGAAACAAGTCCTGGTTCTCCAGAATCTGCTTCAGGGAGCTTTCTGTCACTATTCACATCCATTTCATCAGTAAGATGAAGAGCTTCTTCTTGGGCAATGCCCTGATTATTGGGTACTACCCAAGATACAACTCTTGAGGATCAAGCCTACCATCATATCTTTGTCACAATCATTTAGGTATCTATCTTTCTCAACAAGTATCTACTCTGGATCTTCATTTACTAGATCCCGCCTGTAGACACCAAGATATTCTTCTGGCCCTGGCCAGGTAGTTCAGTTGGTTAGTGCATCGTCCAGGTATGCCAAGGTTGCGGGTTTGATCCCCATCAGGGCACATACAAGAATCAACCAACCAATGAATGCATAAATAAGTGGGACAATAAATCCATCTCTCTCTCTCTCTCCCTGCTCTAAAATCGACTGAAAATGTAAATTAAAAATTAAAAAATTCTTCCAAACTAGCAAATCCATCACCATTTTTGTCATGTTCTTCTAATGCAAGGGTGGGAGAACCTTTTTCCTGCCACGGGCCATCTGGATATTTGTAACATCATTCTCGGGCCATACAAAATTATTAACTTAAAATTTAGCTCTGAAAAAAGCTCCTAGCCCGGCCAGGTGTGGCTCCGCAGTTGAGCATCGATCTAGGATCCAGGAGATAGAAGTTCAATTCCCAGTCAGAGCACATGCCCCGGTTGCGGGCTCAATCCCCAGCAGGGGTGTGCAGGAGGCAGCCAATCAATGATGACTCTCATCACTGATGTTTCTCTCTCTCTCTCTCTCCCTCTATCTGAAATCAATAAAGATACATTAAAAAAAGAAAGAAAGAAAAAAGCTCCTAGATTTATTAAATTTCAAGTCCCGCCTGTAGTTGCCTTGGCAAGGCCAGACCAAATTATTATGGCCTGAGGGCCAGACATTCCCCAACCCTGTTTTAAAGCCTCTTGAATGGCAAATTCCATCATATAATCAACTTCTTCAAGAAACTCAAAAGCAATAAATTCTTCAAGATTCAAACCATCCTGGTTAACTTTTCCAAATCGCTTCTTGTCCTTTAAATGCAGCTGCCTAAAAGTCTCCTTTTCTGCATCAAGAGCTGCTGTCTCATCAAAGTCAATCACATGATCATACACCTGAACGTTGTGTTCATCCCGTGACAGACTACCATCACTGTTTTTAATATATTATCGTATCAACAAACTGTTGTTTCGCTTCTTGCCTAGCTTAATGTTTAAAAGACAACTGAATCCATGAATTGAGGTCACTTTCAGTAAGAAAGCTATCTGAGTCCAAGTCAATTTTCTTTTTAAAAATACGGTTTTTTATAGAATTCAGAAAGAGGAAGGGAGAGGGAGAGAGACAGAAACATCAATGATGACAGAGAGTCATCAATCGGCTCCCTCCTCCTCGCCCCCTAACGGGGATCAAGCCCACAACCTGGGCATGTGCCCTGATCAGGAATTGAACCGTGACCTCTGTGTTCATGGGTCAACGCTCAACCACTGAACACCAGCTGGGCCAAGTCAATTTTCTTTCTTTATGACTGACTTCAGTCTTCTGTGTTGCTCTTTCAGGGTGACTTTAACATATTTGTCAACTTCTTCCTGGTCGCCCAGCAGTGCCTCGGTCAGAGTCCGTGCAGTCCTTGCCCTAAGTGTCCCTAGCACACAGCATCCCTGGGCCTCAGGCCCAGTCATACTGTGCTAGCAGCCACAGGCACAGGGCAGGGGTCGGGGGCAACAGGAAGTGCTGAGCAGCACACGGCTCAGGTGGGGGAACGCAGCGCTGAACCATTCCTCAAGTCCCATGAACTCCCGGCTGAACAGTTTACATTATCCCAATTTTGTTGGCAACATCCATAGTAGGGAGCCAGTCAAACATGTACGTGCCATCTTCTCTCCATCAGGCCTCATCAGGGTGTTGACTTTGGCTACATCAATATCACAAAACTTCTTCACAGCCTGTTTGATCTAGTGCTTGTTGGCCTTGACATCCAAAATGAACATAAGTGTATTGTTGTCTTCTGTTTTCTTCATGGCTGACTTGGTAGTCAGGGGAACTTGATGATGGCATAGTGGTCAAGCTTATTTCTCCTAGGGGCACTCTGCCGAATATATTTGGGTTGCCTTCCCAGCACAGTGTCTTGGGATACCCAAAGATAGGTGACATGCGGATCTTCATTTTTTTGTGTGGCTGTGGATGCCTTTCAGGACTGCTTTTTTTGCCTCCAAAGCCTCAGCTTTGGGAGGGGCAGAGGATTCCTTCTTCACTTTGAGGCGCCACCTTCGTTTTACATACACCATTTTTAAATTCATAAAACGCTTAAATATTTTAATGTAAAAGATTAGGAAAACCCCACTTTGAAATATATTCTATTCAAAATGTATATACATTTTATATATTCTTTACTTAAAAAAAAAAGAAAAAGCCCACTTACGGTCTTTACTGTTTTCAATGGACTCATAACACGTTCGCCTTTCACTAGTTGGTGACTGGAGAGTATCAGTGGAATTAATTCTATTGTTACTAATGGGCTTCAGGGACGCGATGTTCATATTTTTCTGAATGGATACTTTAGAAATCTCAGTGTCTGAATCTGATGCCAAATGCTTATTTTGATGAGGAGACCCTGCCTCCAGCTTTAAAGGGTTCATCAAGTCAAAATCACCTTTACTGACATTTGTGTCATGAAAATAAACAGGGTTACGTTCCACATTAGCAGCACTGATAGTCTTCACCAGAACTTCTTCTCTTGTGCTTTCCTTTAAAAAGCAATAAAAGAGCAACTGTAAGTTTTGTTTTTCATAACTCATTCCAAAATTTTAAGGGGAAAAATTATGTAGTTGACATAAAATGTTTATTATATAAAAGAACAGAGTATAGAGTATTCACTATATTCTAGATTATGTAAGACCCAATGTTAAGCAATTTACAAAAACCAAAATTTATAACATGATCATGGCAAACATACATCAATAGGTTAAGGTACCAAAAGTGGGTCCAACATATTCATTACATGTACAGAATGTTAGAAATGTCAATTTAACATTTATCATTACCACTAAAAGTCTCTATAGGTCAGATATAGGATGAACATATAATAATTATTGCCCTAGCCAGTTTGGCTCAGTGGTTAGAGTGTCGGCCTGCGAACTGAACAAAAAGCTGGGGTAGCAATACTTATATCAGACAACACAGACTTTAAAACAAAGGCTATAACAAGAGACAAAGAAGGACCCAGCAACTCCACTTCTGGATATTTATTTTTTAAAATATGTTTTTACTGCACGGCCGGGCGTGGCTCAGCGGCTGAGCATTGAACTAGGATCCAGGCATAGGGGTTTGATTCCTGGTCAGGGCACATGCCCAGGTTGTGGGCTCAATCAATGACTCTCTCATCATTGATGTTTCTATCTCTCTCTCCCTCTCCTTTCCTCTCTCTGAAATCAATAAAGATATATTTTTAAAAATATATATATATGTTTTTACTGATTTGTGAGAGAGAGGAAGGGAGAAAGAGAAAGAAGCATCAATGTAAGAGAGAAACATCAATTGGTTGCCTCTTGTACTTGCTCCGACAGGGGATCAAACCCACAACCTGGGTATGTGCCCTGACTGGGAACTGAACCAGCAACCTTTCATTGCATGGGTAGACTCTCAATAAGCAGAGCCACACTGGCCAGGGCCACTTCTGAGTATTTATCAAAAGAAACCTAAAACATTAATTTGAAAAGACATATGCATCCATATGTTCACTGCAGCATTATTTACAATAGCCAAGATATGGAAGCAACCTAAGTGGCCATCAACTGACAAATGGGTGAAGAAGTGGTACATATATACAATGGAGTAATACTCTGCCATAAAAAGGAATGAAATCTTACCATTTGTGACATTAATGGACCTAGAGGATATTGTGTTGAGTGAATTAAATCAAACACAGAAAAACAAATACCATATGATTTCACTTATATGTGGAATCTAAAGAACAAAATTAATGAACAAACAAAACAGAAACAAACTCATAGATACAGAGAACATTTTGAGAAGTTGCCAGAGTGGAGGAGGGTTGGGAGCTGGGTAAAAAAGGTAAAGGGATTAAGAAGCATAAATTTGTAGTTACAAAATAGTCACGGGGATGTAAAGTAAAGCACAGGGAATATAGCAATAATACTGTAATAAGTAAATATGGTGCTAGATGGGTACTAGATTTACTGGGATGATCACTCCTAAGTTGTAAGTTATATAACTAATCAGTGGGTTGTACACCTGAAACTAATATAATATTGTGTGTCAACTATAACTGAAAAACACAAAATTATTTTAAAATAAATTAATAAAAGTGTTATCAGATAAAAGACTTTGTTTTCACAGACAATTTAAAGAAAATGCAAATAACTTACTCTGTCACAATGTAGAAGAGTACCATTCGAACTTTCTGCCCTTTCTTTCTCTTTTTCAATTCTCAAAGTATTAGAGGAAAGTGGTAACACACCATCTACATACCTTCTACTATTTCCATTATCTGTAGAATTACCTAAAATACATGAGAAAAATAATGAAGGAATGTCAAAGTTTCAGTAATCTAATATAATAATTGTTTTGGCTGTTCAAATTATCTTAAGAAACCTAATATTCAGCATTCATATGACAAATATAGCAATTTGCATAAGACAGAAAATAATCAACAGCATGAGGCAACAGTAAATGTGCCAAACTGCTACCACACAGAGAATTCATTTCTAATTCTCAAGCATCTGAACAGAGCACAATCATTTGCAATCTACAACCAAGAAATATAGACTACAGTGTTTCCAATACCAATATACTCACACATTATTAAAAGCTCAGGCATTACCAATACACTCAGGCATTATTAAAAGCTCTTTTGAGCATGCACGTCTTTCCCTTCCCCCTCTTCTTCCCAGGCGAGTTACCTTTGCCTTTCTCTCCCCTAAACTCAAAGAGCCCTTCTTCTGCCTCTGTAACTTGTTTCCTGAGTCTACGCACACAGCCCAGCTGGCACATTTCTACTACCTCTGTCACTTTTAAATAAACTTTCCCTTATAATTTGAAAAATAAAAAAAAGCTCTTTTGAAAAATTTCAGGCTTTCAAGATTTGAGAGGATACAAGGGTTAATAAATGTTAAATCATACCAAATAAATGATTTTTTTTGCAAAAATGCAAAGTCAAACAAAATTTAAAAACAAAGAAATCTTATCAATACTTACTGGTCCCAGGGAGACAAACAACATGGCCTTCCTCACACTCTTTGTGGGTTGTTTCAGAATATCCTGAAGAGTGTGAGCCATGGGAAATCTGACAGCTGTTATTTTCAGACTGAGATTTACAGTTTGAACTACCATTTTCATTTGCCTGTTGGAAAAGTATCTTAGCTTTACGAATTTTTAAAAATAAAAACAAACATTTTGAGGGGTAAAATATGGGGAGCAGAGAATCTCTTCTTTATAGAAGGATGCCACGTAGTTATTGTAGAAGGAACTAGACAAATCACCACTGTAAAATGTAAAAATTGTTTCTGGGAAGCCTCAGCAATGATACTAAATCCAGTTCATAAAAGGTTTTTCAGCAATCAGAATGTTCACATGACCTCAATATATCATTCCACAGATAAATTGCTGATAAGAACGGGGCAGGAGATATCTGGCTGACACATTTACCAAGATAATCAGACACAGAATCACCAATAATGGGGCAGACTTACATGTCTCCTGAGTAATGAAATGAGACATACACAACATCACCCACATTTAATCTTAATTTGTTTCATGAGAAAAATGTTAAATCTGAATTCTTGCCAAATGTTTAATGGAATCAGAAGGGGGGAAATGAGGTCATTTTTACAAAATGACATGTCTAAATTTTACAAAATAGTTTAATGACATGAAAGAAGCACTCCAGACTCAAAGAACAGAGAGGCATGACAACCAAATGCAAGTGTAATCCTTGATTAAATCTGGATCAAAAACAATAAAGGTAAAGGACATTTTGAAGACAAATGGGTAAATCTGGATATAAAATGTCTATTAATTTAAATCACTGTGTTAGATAATTTAGGTAACAGAATTAAAATTATGGAGATAAATGCTGAAGTATGAGGGTGAAATGTCATAATATCTGCAACTTACTTTCAAATGACTCAGGAATAAAGTACTTATGGAGGAACAAAGAAAATCCAACAGTGGCAAAATATTAACAACTGGATAACCTGGATGTGGGGTATACATATGTTCACTGTAATTTTTCTGTACATGATGGAAAGGTAAGAGGAAGCAGAAAAGGTGTTTCTCATCAGTTTATATCAGGGAAAAATAGAGTTCAAAGAAAACCAAAAGCTTAAGTTTTAGGTTAATATCCAATGAGACCAGTAATAATTTTCTAATGTTGAATTTCTGAAAAACTGTAACAATTGGAACATACCGGACTGAGATCACCTATAGGTAACCTAAAATCTTTTTCTGGAGGTTTCTGTCCTTCTAGGTCTTCATATATCATTCCTGGAATTGCCAGTTGCTCAAAATAAGCCTCCAAATGATCATCATAAAACTCTTCATCATCAATATCATCATCTATTAGTAAATGGAAGAGAAATAGAACAGGCTTTAAAGTAGTGATTGAACTGTAATTTATTCAGAAAGATTGATAAGACATATGGATCAATGGTCTATATGATTGTATTTTAACATTTGACATGAAAAAAATTATCATTTCTGTCTATAAATCATTATGAGCATTCCAATATAACTAAATATTTAACTTTCTTTGATAGGATAGTACAGAACTAAATCCTGACATAAACCATAAGTTAGAGTATAATAAATGTGGCATTAAAGATCAGTTGGGAAAACGGCAGATAATTTAGAAAATGGAGTAGCAAATGGGTGGCAGATACATAGCCCGGCCAGTATGGCTCAGCAATTTGAGCATCAACCTATGATCTAGGAGTTCACAGTTCGATTTCCAGTCCGGGCACATGCCTGGGTTGCAGGCTGGATCCCCAGTAGGGGATGTGCAGGAGGCAGCTGATTAATGACTCATCAGTGATGTTTCTATCTTTCTCTCCTTCTCCCTTCCTCTCTCTGAAATCAATTTTTTTTTTTTTTAAAGGGATAAATAAGCCCATTATAAAAGTAAAAATAAATTCTAGATGAATTAATAGTTAAGTGTAAAATGAAACCTCAAACAATATGTGATCTTGAGAAAGGCGGAATTAAGGAAAAATAATATAACAAAGTTGAACCCTAATAGGCATGATTAAAAATACAGTGGTACCTCGGTTTTCAAACGTCTCCGTTGACAAACATTTTGGTTTAGGAACGCTGTAAACGCAGAATACTTCAGTTTTCGAACATGCCTCGGAAGTCGAACATGCCATGTGGCTTCCGCTGAGTGTAAGAGCCTGAGGCCTAGCTGTCGGCTGTTGATCCCTCGGTTTTCTAATGTTTCAGAACTCAAACGGTCTTCCAGGATGGATTGCATTCGAAAACCGAGGTACCACTGTATTCAACCGCTATCAAAACCAGAAAGTTGCAAATAAACAAATAAAAAAACACTGACAGTGTTTGTTTTGTTTTGGGTTTGTTTTGTTTTGGGTTAGTGGTTTTTTAATGTTTTAACAACCAGCTCGGAAGGGGCAAGAATGGTACTACAGTTATCACTGCCTTTTCAAGAGGATAATTTTGCAATCAACATTACAGAGCCTTAAAAATGCTCATAACCTTTGACTTAGTTATTTTACCTCGAAGAATCTATATAAGATCTATATAAATTCAGGCCAACAATTCCTCATCCACAATTTCACCATCCAAAAATATCTAAAAACTTTAGCAGCAAAACCTGTCCTGAATTTAGTTTCTATTTATCCCACTCAGCCTATCAGCCAGGCCTTCAAAGCCATGAATAATTTGATACCTGTTTACTTTTCTGGATTACTCTCCAATTCAGGTTCCTACAAGTGCTGTAAACCTGCCACACACAACCAAACTTGGCCAAATGCCCTCCCCACCACCACCATAGGGAATTTTGCTGAAGTTATTCCTGAAATGTATTTCTCTTCCCATATCTACATTAAGGCCTATCACAGGCCTTTTCAAGAAAAAGGAAAAACTGCACCCTCTTTCAGTGAAGTTTCACAGACACCTTCCTCCATCAGAATTAATTTGTTACCCTTCCATGATTCCTACACAATTTGTACTTCTGAGATACACATAATACAGTTGGGAGTTTAGCTATGCATCTCTTTTCTTACTTGGTAGGTCTTTCAGAAAGCAGAGTCTAAATATTTCATGGTTCCCCCAATTTCTTAACATAGTGCTTTGTACTGAGTGGAACCTAGGGTTACTACTTCGTACTCTTATGATCCTAAACTCAGGGATAAGCACAATCATATCAGGACTGATACACAGAAATGCTTTAAAAATTCCATCACTTAAGAGAAGTGGTCATTTGAGTGCTGGTAAGCAGGAAGTAAAGGAGAAGGCAAAGAAACAAAAAGCTGGCATAATAACAACTGCAACCAAGAAGCAGAAAGACATAGAATGGTAAAGTAAGGACTAGGAAAACACAAATTAAGTTATGGTACCAGAATCTTCCAAGCTTGTCAGTGACATAAGTTTCTCATTTTCTATTAAACTAGTATGGCTTAAGTCACTGCTTGGATTCTTGTCTTCAAAATGTTTTCCAGCATCAGGAACAACAATCTATAAGAAATAAAATGTATGTAAGAGAAGCACACTCACTGCTTTGAAGACTATAGTACAAGGCTGCAAAAAGGACTGCCCATGTGCTCAGTATCTGTAATTCACAATTTAGGCAATGAAGGCCTGTTGTTTTATATGCATTAAGAACTTTCTTCCTACCCTGATGCCACCTCCCTCTCCTGACCCACCTAATAAGACATCTTTAAAATTTAATATCTCGAAACGCGCACATGCTTTGAAGACCTAGAAATATAGTTGGTATGCTAATATACAATCGAATTTGAGCAACACAGGGTTCCAACAGAAAATGAAAACAATAGCAAAGTGGGCTCAGCAACCTACAGCTTTAAGACTGATTTCTCTGCTCAACCCAGGGAACATGTAAGCCTAAGGACACTAAGACCCAGAATAAAATGTAATGTTTCCTTCTAAGTGTTGATTTTATTTCATAATCATATTATATATCAACCACCACCACCTTAAGAAATAGATTGCAAAATGCACACTAACTTTTAAGATTTAATACATGGACTCTCAAGGCAACTACACACTTGCGGAGGGCAGTGCAGCATTATACTCATAAATATCTAAGGGACCAGGGGCTACTATTGTGGAATATAAGTTCTGTGTGTTGAATTTTTCATAATAATAAATTAGGGAAAAATCTGTATAAGAAAGAACAATATGTAAAACACCTCTGCCTTTCTGGTCATGGGTGCTATTGAGAACTCCATCTACTCTGCTACACTTCGTGCCTTACATATGGCCAACTGAACTAGAGAGACCCTGCAAAATGTCCTTATTGTGCTAAAGTGGTGTAGCTCTTACAGCTTAGATGATGAGACCTACCAAGCCATTTTTCCTTCACTGCCCTGGATACCAGGACAGTCAAAGCTACAAAAGTCAAATGCAGTAGTAGCTCCCGCTGGTCTAGGTTTTTAAATACACTTGTTTTCCTCCTGCTCTCATTTCTTCATCTTCTTTTTATTAAATATCTCATTTCTATACTTTCAAGTTTCATGGTCCCTCTCTTATCATCAATGACTTCTAATGTTTTTAGGAAGTCAATTCTTCAACAATCATAAGAAAATTAATTATTTATCTAGGGGAAAAGTTATGTTCTCTCTCTTTAGAAACCATTGTTTCTAAATGTTCAAAGAAATCATGCTTTCTTTTGTTTTTTATTATATAGACTCTTTTACTTTTATTATTATTTTTTTAATTTATCTTTATTATTGAAAGTATTACAGATGTTCCCTTTTGCCCCCCATTGATTCCCTCCACCCGGCATCTACCCCACCCCTAGGCCTTCCCCATACCAATGTCTGTGTCCATAGGTTATGCATATAAACATGTAAGTCCTTTGATTAACCTCTCCCCACCCACACCCCACACCCCTGCCTTCCCTCTGAGATTCCTCAGTCTGTTCCATGCTTCTATGTCTCTGGATCTATTTTGTTCATCAGTTTATTTTGTTCATTATACTCCACATATGAGTGAGATCATGTGGTACTTGTCTTTCTCTGACTGGCTTAAAAGAAATCATGCTTTCTGAGTCAACTTCAATTTGACTATACCTGAACCTCCTATAAAAAGCACCTCTCACACTTTAAGGTTATTAGTGGTTACATACAGGGAGTAGCTTATGAAGCAGGAGTGAACAAACATTTTCTGTAAAAGGCCAGATAGTAAATATTTCAGGTTTTGCCAGCATAGTCTCTGTCACAACTTCTCAACTCAGCTGTTGTAGCATAAGCAATACAGAAACAAATGAGCATGGCTGACTTCCAAAAGAACTTTACAAAAACAGGCAGCAGATTGGAGTTGAACAATGAGCTACAGTTTGCCAATCCCTGGCATAGAGAAATAACTCTTACTTTAAACACTTCTGTAATCATTTTATAAAAATTATCTTAAAAATTCTTATGAAAGTAAAACAAAAATTGCAACTCCTTTTTATAAGTTTTAAAAGCACTTAGGTTCCAGCCAGCTTGGCTCCATGGTTAGAGCATTAACCCATGGACTGAAGGGTCCCAGGTACGATTCCAGACAAGGGCACATGCCACAGTTGCAGGCTTGATCCCCAGCCCCAGTCGGGATGCATATGGGAGGCAACTAATCAATGTGTCTCTCTCATATTGATGTCTGTCTGTCCTTCTGTCTCTCCCCCCATTTTCTTCTCCCCCCTTCCACTATCTCTGAAAAGCAATGGGAAAAATATCCTCAGGTGATGATTTAAAAAATAAATAAAAGCATTTATTTATATTTTATAAACAAATCTCATAAATACAAGACTATAAGCCTAAAATTCCAGTTGACTATTTATGTTGGATGTAAACTGTTTATCTGCTCAACACCCCTTCCTTTGAGGAGCCCACATCTTTTTACTTCATGTGGTCTTGGTAGGGTTCTCAGTCACATTCCTCTATCTGTGCATGTACAGATATTGACACATGCATGTGCATGCACACACACACACACACAAGGTCCACCTTATAAATCAGAATGTTTTATCTCAACCCATCCTTTGGCTCAGCAATCTACATAGGGGAAGGCATATGACCCAAATGAGCTCATTAGAGTTGTCCTCTATTTTTTTTTTTTTAATTCACCCCAGAGAAAGATCATGCTCTTCTTTATTGATCATGAATGCTAAGAGTGTAGGCCTGCACTGCCTATGAATAAAGGTAGCTTTTCTATCATTCAACAAATTATTGAGTATGTGCCAACTATGTTCCAGGCACTCAGGATAAACGAAAAAAAAACAAAGAGAAACACTTACCCTCATGGAGCAAATATTCTAGAGGGAAGTAGCACAGAATGAAGTAGAGGGGCAGTAAGTCCTGATGACACAAGTCCAGGAATACACAGCCCGTAGACCAGCACTACTCTCAACTTTCTATTACTTAAAGCAGTATCTTGGATTTCTGCCATTTACACGTAGACTTCTAACTATTATTAGTACTACTTGGCACTTATATATGTGAAATAGGAACTTTCATTCTCCTAGTAACTCCAGAAATTGCTAACAAACATAGAAAAGATTACCTTGCTCTCCTTAGTATTCATCCATGATCGTAAACCAAAATCAATAGGCGAGTCTATTTAAGAAAACAAAAACAAAAACTGAGAGACCAAGTTACTTTATCAACCAAATATCCAATAATAATGAACTAAACACTTTTCCCTTTAAGTAGAACACAGCACTTTTAAATGATGCTCTGGAACTCAAACTATTTAGAGCCTGGCCAGCATGGCTCAGAGGTTGAGCATCAACCTATGATCCAGGAGATTGCAGTTTGATTCTCAATCAGGGCACATGCCCAGGTTGCCGCCCTGATCCCCAACAGGAGGCATGCAAGAGGCAGCCAATCAATGACTCCTATCATTGATGTTTCTCTCTCTCTCTCTCTCCCTTCCTTTCTCTGAAATCAATGAAGACATATTTTTTAAAAAAGAGACCTTTTCCTATAAAGAATTATAAACATTATATTAATAGGTAAATGTCAAACCTAAGCATTTCAGTTGAAAGTATCATAGCTTAAGATATATACCAGTCCATGGAGGGGAGCAAAGGGTGAAGGGAAATGGGAGACATCTGTAATACTGTCAACAATTAAAAAGATAAATACCAGTCCAAAGACAGAGAAATGAGAAAGGAAAATAAAATATATACATTGAGAAAAAATTTCTTATACTTCAGTACCTTGCACTTGTTCCAGTGGTAAAATCCTAACACAAGGATCTTGACTCTGAAAGGATTCTGCAGTTTTAGCCTCCTGCTCTTCTGTTTTTGCTAGATTGCTGGGAAAAGCTGATGCTTTGAGGACAGCATCTGACAAATGTTGACTTTCTATATGGTTCTTCCTCCTAGAGACAAAGCTTTTTTTTATTAGGAAACAGAATGATGATGAAATCTACTTTATCTCTCAAAAAGAAAACAGGGGTGGGCGTGATGAGCACCAAAGCCCCACTGAAGCAAATACAGTGAAAAGAAACATTTCTGGGACCAGCCACAAACTACAACTGGTGACACTGTGGGTTTTCCTACGGATTATTGTACCATCATTTTGGGTCCAGTGATGGACAGTCTACCAAAATCAAATATATTATCATACTGCTACTCTGTTTCACAAGTGATAAAATGAGGGGGGTTTTCTTTCCCAAATGAGTATCTTTGAATCTACCATCTCTAGAGAAAAAGTCAGCTTTCTAAAAATAAGATAGACTTAAAGGATACTGGTGTATTTGCCAAATAGCTGATTCTCTGAATTACAAGGAATAATTTATAGAACTTTGACAAATCTCAATTAGAATCCTCAGAAACATTCAAGTAGCTATTACATCCACACGAAAAATGGAGCCATTATAAAAAACGAGAGACCAGAAAAAAGACCTCTCAAAATTATGATTGCCAAATGATTTAATGAAAAAAATTAAGAGCTTGAAGGGGGTTGGGGGGTACACAACCCGTAATACTTTCAACAATAAAAATTAACTAAAAATAAATAAATAAAAATTGTAAATTTCCTTAAAAAAAAAACACTTACGAACTTATCTAGAACATTGTCGTTTTGCACTGGAAAAAATAGGAAAAAAAAAACGGAAACTGACCAACACAGGCAGTCTAAAATAGTAGTTCCAGAAAGAGAAGAGAAAAAATAGAAAATTACCAAAGTAATAATAATCTAAACTAAAAAAATCTCTGGACTGATGCCAATTAAAATTTAGTGAGTGGAGGAGGAAGGAAACCCCATTCAGGAGTCAAGAGCGAGGCCAGCGCACCACATCTAGGACTTCACAGCACTGTTATCACTGGCTTGGAGCTGGAATATGTAAGCCCTTTGAGCCCTCAGTACCACTGCCAGGTCACCCTTCCTAAAGCCTCCCAGCTTAGAATCACCTACTACCCCTCATGTCATCTGCCTTAGTACTACACTCTATAATCCTTTGATTCTACCTACCCATGCCTCCAATCCATTCACACTGCCACATTTCACTCTCTTACCCTTTTGATATCCTCTCCTCAACTTAAATCTCATGTCCAGTCATCATACACCTCAATTCCCTCGTCCCTCACTGCCTTCATCAAAATATAATCCTGATTAACCCCAACTCTCCACTTACACCTTGTCAGCACTCCTGCAGCTGAATGTGGTTGGAGATAACATCACAATCACACTGAGAAGTCTCACACTAAATTCATTACCATGACCCTCCATTGGAGCTTCTGATATTGTCTGACAATCCTGCTATTTCCCTTGTCTGTTCACTTTTCCCACACTCCCAAAGGACTGTTTACATCTGGCTCTAAGAGCCACCAACTCCTCCTCCTCCTCCTCTTCCTCCTCCCTCACTGAGTTGATGGTCATGCCTCCTACTTCACGGAGAAACCTGCAGCACTGAAAAGACAACTTCCTCAGATTCTCACAACTACACATATATATTCCACCATCTCATCTGTTAATACAGAGGAACTATCCATCCATGGCCCAACCCCTCTAAAGTCATTCCCTCCACTGCAAATTAGATCCTAGCCTCTCTTATTATTTACACAAAAACATTGCCCTAGCAAGTCTCTTCTCTTTCTACATAATCAAACTTTCCTTTTCCAGATTATCATCCCTATTACCATCTAAACATGCAGTAACTCATCCCACTAAAAACAACAACAAAACTTCTCTTGCCCCATGACACCTACCAGCTACCACAGCCCCAATTCTCTGCTCCCTCTGGCAGCAAAACTCCACAAGTTGTCTACTCTCGGTCTTCAATACTAACTTCCCATTCTCTCTTACACTCTATTACACCACTGTGCCTCCTCCTAATCCATCAAAACAACTTGTCAGGGTTACCAATGACCTAGTCTATGCTAAATCCAATGCTCACTTCTTAGTCCACATTTTATCCACAACTGAGTCACTCTTTCTTCCTTTATATATGTTCTTCTCGTGGCTTCCAAGATACTCTTTGTTTTCTTCCTACCTCTAATCACTAATTCTTAGTCACTATATATCCATTCCTCCTCTCCCCAACTTCCTAATACGAGGTGGGCAAAAGTAGGTTTACAACTGTAAGTACACAAAACACAGCTTATTCTTGTATTATTACTTATTATTATTAACCTACTTTTATCCACCCTTGTATTGAAGCACCTATGCTCTTCTCTTCTCCATTTATCTTACTCCCTTGATAATCCAACCTCCTGAGTGGTCTCCCTGCCTCCAGTCTTGACTCCCAACAATCTAGTCTCAACGCAGTAGCCAGAGTGAGCCAGTTAAAACATAATTCATATGGAACCCTCAAATGGTTTTCCATCTCAAAATCCAAGTGCTTGCTCACCCACTCTAGCCTCCTTCCTGCCCTTTGAACATACTGGGTATGCTCCTACCTTAGTGCCTTTATGCTGGCTGCACCCTCTGCCTAAAATCCTCTTCCTTCTAATATCCACGTGGCTAACTCTCTCTTTCAAGTCTCTGCTCATGCCTTAACCTCTTCAATGAGACTCACACTGGCCACTTCCTTCAGCCTTCCTAATAATCCTCCTTATCATGCTCTAGTTTTTTCTAGCACTTTTCCCTTCTAATATACTATAAAACTGGTATACTTTAATGTCTTCTTTTTGTTTAATGTATGTTTTGTTCACTGGTATTTCCTAAATACCTAGACAAGTACCTGGCACATAACAGGCACTCAGTCAAAAATACAAATTGAGTGGATGAATATACAAAGAGTTAACATCTTTGATATACAGAAAGTGCTTATATCTAAATATTATCAAGAGGCAATTCACAACAGAAATAAAAATAATGAATAAACATTAAAGTATGTTCAATCCATAAATACTAAATTATAAATTCAAACACAGAAAACTTTAAGACTACCTGTAATACCACCATCAATAGATATCTACCATTTATATTTTGGTGTATAGACTTCTAGACTTTCATCTGTGCATTTGTGCATGAAAATAAATTTCTTTGCTTCTAAAATCAAAGATTAAAAACAGTACTACCAAATACTGGGGACAGCTCAGAGAAGTAGGTGGTCTCAAATATCTTCTAGTGGGAGTGTAAACTGGTACAATCTTCTAAAAAGCAATGTGGTAATTTCTAACAGTCTTTCAAATTAAATACTTAACTCAGCAATTTCAATCCTAGGAATTTATCTTAATTAAATAACCCATGAGGTATGGAAAATGTATGTATAAATAAAGAAGTTCATTAAATTTACAACAGCAAAATTCCAATAATCTAAATGTCTAACATGGTATAGCCCTTAATATTATAACACAAATCTACATTGTAACTGAAAAATAAGCACAATGTATTAATTTTTATAAGGTTATAAATAGTATATACAGTTTAACCCTATTTTGTAAAAGCAAATTAATATATATACATGTATATGTACATAGTAAATAGTCTGAAATTAAAACTTTAAAAAATAAAACAGAAAATAGTCTGTAAGACTATAAATAAAAATGTAATCAATGGCTATTCTCCAGTTAGTGGGATTTCATAGTTTACTGTCTTCCTTACAATTCTCTACATTTTTAGCATGTATTACTATTAGAATCAGAAAGTGTTTTAAAAGACTTAGTGTTTGTGATTGATATAAAAAAAGATTCATATGAGAAGAAAGTGAGACACAATTACATTTTCATTTTCCACAAGACTGAGGCTCACTTTTAATACAGTACAAGCAACATGGAGGTTCACACTTACTCATCATCATCTTGGAAGCTAAGCTGTAACTTCTCTCTTGGTTCAGCTTCACTCTGGCTACCGGGAGATGACTCAGATGGAGCTGAAAACCTCTCTTCTACTAAATAAGATGCCTGAATATCAGAATACCTACACACAAAAATACCTGTTTTTAATCGTTAATAATTAAATTATGCACATTTACAATTCACCGTGACATAGGCCTGCATGATTGTGAAACCAACCACCAGGTGGTAAAACAAATAGAGCCCCAGTGTTGAAAACCATCATTCTATGTGCAAAAGCATTGAAGTAGATCAGCAATGGAGCATGTATGTATTAAACAATAGTCACAGAAATCTTAAAGCTAAAAGAGTTTTTATAGGGTTAATCCAACCCCTTCATTCCAAAGGTAAAGATGATGCTCTTTCCCAAATGTTAGGATGGGAGGAAGGAAAAGTGGTTAGATATTTAAACACGGGCAAACTTTACACATTACACAAGACAGGCAAACTGTACACATCATATTTAGAGATAAAATTCAAATTACCAGCCACCATTAAGGCTGAACTAACACAAAGCCAAAACACTATGGACAGAAAAATAATTAGTAAACCAAAGGTCACTGGTACTCAATCCCAAGCCCACCCACTCACCACTGATAAGCAATGGAACAGGAAGAGACAACAAATTTTACCCTTTTCCATACGAATTTTACACATATGTGGCCATATCCCTCAGACATAGCAAAAGCTCAAACTTGACAGAGATATTTTACACAAGTATCAGTATACTGTAGGCTTTATAGACTTAAAAAAAATCATCTGTTCAAACAATTCTTACCTATTATCAGTGCTCGATCTATTTCTAGCAAGTGTTGAAACAGCAACAGGCAAGCCAAGATTTGAAGAAAGGGTGACATTTTCCAAAATCCCACTATTACCAAGTAATGAACTGGTTAAAAAGCTTGGAAATGACTCTTCAGTTATACCTCGAAAATCTTCCATCTCACTGCAACAATAAAAGTTTCTATAAATCAAGTATTACTATAAAATATTTTTAAATGATTAAGAGTACAAGTCTCAAATCTTAGAAAACTGATAAATCTTAAGAAAAATCCTATTTTTGGAACAGCACTACGTAGGGATACATTCCAGGGTAAAGTAATTCTCAGAATAATTCGCTACTTTATAGCTGAGAATCTAAAAACCAAACTATTTTATAATTAACATAATAATGAAATACAACACAGTTTAACTTATCTTGGATTGCTATAGCAAAAAATATTACCACAAACTGATCTGGCAAAGAAGCAAAGCTGGACAATACTGATGGCATATACAGATGATTTTAGGATATACTTATAAGTTTACTAGTTGGGTATCCATTCTCACATGAAATAGAAAATGAAAACTACCAAATTCTAGCTCCTGATTTCACAGATTATTGTTAAGGATGAATACATGGTTTAAAAAGTGAGACCCTGCCCAGCCAGCGTGGCTCAGCAGTTGAGCATCATCCTAAGATCTAGGAGATCAAGGTTCAATTCCCAGTCAGGGCACATGCCCTGGTTTCGGGCTCCATCCCCAGTGGGGAGAGTGCAGGAGGCAGCCGGTCAATGACTCTCTCATCACTGATGTTTCTCTCTCTCCCTACCTCTCTCTGGAACCAATAAAGACATTAAAAAAAAAAAAGGTGAAACTATTCATCCCTGGCCACTGTGCTCAGTGGTTAGAGCGTCCTCCCACTTACCAAAGGGTCTCAGGTTCGATTCCCAGTCAAGGGCATGTACCTGGGTTGCACATTGGATCCCCAGTCCCAGTCGGGAGAAAGTGCAGGAAGAAACCAATCTACATGTCTCTCTCACACTAATGTTTCTCTTTCTCTCCCTCCCCCACTCTCTAAAAATCAATGGAAAAAATATCCCAGGGTGTGGATTTAAATAAGTAAGTAAGTAAATAAATAAATAGTGAGACCATTCTAAGAAAAATTTTAAATTAATGTAACTTGGCACGTGGACAAGAGTACACGGTTTAAAAAGTGAGACCATTACCAAAAAACGGTAAAAGTGGTATACAAAGGACTAAATCTGGAAAACAATGGCAAAGAACTGTACTACTGATAGAGAACCTCCAGCCCATATTAGCCATTGGTTCAACTTGACCCTGCTCACAGTACTCAGGAGATGTCATTCAATCTCAAAAATATTTCAGAGTGTTTATCATGTAAGGGCTGTATGGAATTCAATAAAGAAAATCATTACATTAGGAAAGGCTCAATAAATGAGAGGGTATTGAGGGGGCTTTTACAGATGACAAATAAACATGAGCAAAGGCAGAAGAAAATTAAGATTTATCACATACCTACTACCCTAACTCATTTGTCCTTATTTTACAAATGAAGAAACAAACTCAGACATTAAATTTAACTAAGATTTACCCATGATTACACAATTAATAAGACTTGAACCGGGGTCTGACTCCAAAAGCCACTATAAGTACTAAGTGTGTAGTGGCAACAGCAAGTGCACCACCGTATTTTGGCAGAGTATAAAATAACATGGTAAGTTAAACCATGGAGCCAGATCCTAAATGCCTTAACTGGTGTATTAGGAAGTCTGTACTGCATTCTGCAGCCCAGGAAAGAACTGATCTCATCAACCTACAGTAAAGGGAAAGGGCTTACAGTCTAAATGGATACTCAAAGATCCACCACAATTGGTAAGATGGACAAAATATGACACTAGTGTCAATGACAAATACACTGGCGTATAGATTTTCGATAGTATGAACTAGTTTTTTTTAAGTTTTTTTCTTGTAATATTGAGACTTTTTTTAATATGTCTTTATTGATTTCAGAGAAAGGAAGGGAGAGGGAGAGAGAGATAGAAACATCAATGATGAGAGAGTCATTGATCGGCTGTCTCCTGCACGCCCCATATTGAGGATCGAGCCCGCAACCCAGGCATGTGCCCTGACCAGGAATCGAACTGCAATCTCCTGGATCATAGGCAGATGCTCAACCACTGAGCCATGCTGGCCAGACAGTATGAACAAATTACAAAGTAAAAAAGTTTTAATACCACTACAGAGCTATAAAACTTATTTGATTATGGATGAAGTATTCATGCTCCTGTCAGAAACCCACCTCTCTACTTTGCACTAGATCCCAACCCCTCACCAGTGCAGTAACAATTACTCTTAGCAACTGGCCCTCCTCTTAAATATTGTCTATCTATGCCCCCTTTACCACATACTCCTCCAAAAAGGAATCACTACTGGCCATCCAGTTCCACTCCTGTCATCTCCTGAACCTCCTCCAAGCTTACTTTCTTCCCACCACCACACTAAAATACTTGTTAACATCACCACTAATATCCCTGTTGCCAAAGCCCATAATCCCATGGTCAATTTTCAGTCCTCAACTTCTTTAACCTAACAGTATGGGACTCATACTCCTCCCTTGTAGAAATACTTTCTTCACTTGGTTTCCAAAACACCACTGTCTGGGCTCTCCCATCTTCACCAGCTGCCTTCGAGCCTCTGCCCAGCACACTGAGGCCCAAGATAGCCTCCCATCTTGCTCCTTAACGTCTTTCAGGTCTTTGTGTAAATGTCTCCCTCATCTTTAAATCACCTCAGCCTAGACCTCTATCCTAAAATCTACAATCATATTTCCAAATAGCTCATTGACATCTACCTTACCTCTGAATGCCTCTCAAGTAGTACAAAGCCAACAAATATAAGACCAAATCCACTCCCTTTTCCCCACCCACTCTTCTTATCCTTAGTTTTGATGTGCTATCCATAGTCTCTTGCTAGACAAGCCACACAGACAGACACCTGGGACCATATGATGCTTCTTGCTCTAGAAGTTACCAAATTCTAATGCTTCTAACTCCAAATATATCCCTGGAGCTGACACCCATTTCTATATTCCCAATACCTGCCTCCCATCACTTTTTAATCTAAATCATTGCATGTGTCTTACAACTAGCCTCCCATGTCAGGTCTTGTAATTACTAAGTTATTCATTTACAGATATATAAACCACATTAAAATACATACCAAACCTTTTAAGGGTTATTCCTATTAGGAGTCAAACTTAAGAAAATTTAGATATTAAGCAAAGATCATTCATGCAACAATCATTATCAAACACCAATCATGAAAGACACTCTACTGGGCATCGGGAATGCAAAAATAAATAAGGCAGCTCCCCTCAGGTTGCTGACAACCCCTATCAATTGTGATATACAGTCTTAAGTGCTTGGACAGAGCTGCGCTATCGGTGCATGGGTAACACAACCCAGTGGAAGATTCCTAATCTAATACCTAGTCTCTTGTTTCCAGAAAGGATCACACTTGTTCTACACCATCCAGACATATCACATTCCTAAAGCTTTCCTAGAAGGGGAAATTCCCTAACTTCCCTCTGTATTGCATTCCCCACCCCATCTCCATCACGTAAAGTGAAGACAATGTCATGTTTTCTTTTCTTTAACTAGCTGAACTAAGTAACCATCTTTGCGATTTCTATTGCCATTTCCTTAAACCAGTAACCTCAAAATTTTGCACTTGAGTTTATTAATATTTAATTGCTTTCATTACATTTCTGGATATATAAAGTATCATTTACTGTAGTCATTAATTGGAGGGCTACGTGTACAATTAAACACATTTAAAGATATATACTGTGGAAAAAAGGCAAACTTCCCCAATATTCATTGGCATTTTAAGATATATCTTATAATCAAGTATGCATTTAGTACATAACTTTTCAAAACTTACCGCTAACTTTGCCCACAAAACTGAAGTTCAAAGAAAAGGTTGATCTTGGAGCAGTAAAAACTCCAGTCGAATAACCTCAAAATGGTAACAGCGAATGGAAATATTGTCATAAAAACAGCTGTCCTCCAAACGACTACCTCGGAAAGGACCTCATGTTTTACTAAACAAAGTCTAAAATTAAGAGAAAGCAAAAGCAGAGTGATATTAAACGTCTTATTTCACTTTTCCGCCCCCACAAAGAAACCAGATTCAGGAAATGTAGGAATGAATGGTATTACAGGTAAATGAGAACGCTGCCTAGCAGAAACCAAAACAAAAGTGAATAACGGGTGACGGGACAGACCCTCCTGCATTTAGTTAACGTGATTTCCTGGGTCAGGGTTTCAGGCAAAAGGAGAAACAGAACCGCTGGTCGCGCAGCGAAGCAAACACCGCGGGACCACGGGGCGCTCTGCGGGAAACCCGAGCAAAGGCGGAGCGGGTCGCTGCTCGAGAGCTGAAGTCCCCAGGCGGGAAGAAGACACAAGAATGTCATCCCCCAAAACCAAAGCCCGTGTCTTTCTGAGCCGCGCTCTCACGGTCGGCTAAGAGCCTCAGACACAGAGGCGTCCCATTAAAAACTCCCTGAGCAGAATTCACTGTGCGACCCAGCAGGTGCAAGGCTTGAAAGGAGCGCGGCGGCCCGACCCCGCGTCCAGCCCGCAGCCCCACCCCGAAGCCTGCTCCCCATTCCCGACCCCGGTCCAACCGTCACTGCCCCGCCGCCCCGGCAGCCGAAACGCCTCCCAAAAGTGGATTCGCCTGCCTCCCGCCGAACCGCACGTCAAGACCCAAAGGACCCTCCTCACCGAGCCTGCGATCGCTGCTTCGGGAGGAGAAATCGCGACCGAAGGTTTCGAGGAAGGGGCGTCCGGGAGGTGCTACAAATGCGCGTGCGCGTACCACCGCACCCGCGGCCGCCCCAGCCGGCCGTACCGCGCGCCCCTCTTACGTCTGTTCGCGGCACGAGCGGAAGCCCGGTGGACTCGGGAACTCCTTTGGATTGGACGGCGCGAAGGGAGAGGGCGGGCACGAGCCCGATGATTGGGCAGGGACGGCGCGCCCGGGATTTGAAGCGGGGAAGCCGCGCTCCGCAGCGCCGGAGGAGGAGCTCAGCCCTGCCCGAGACCCGCGGAAGGCCCTCTCGCGTAACTAAGCCCCAGGCGCCGCGTTGAAAGCCTTGGCTGACTTGAAAATAATACTTACCGAATTCAGTTTTGGACTCCAAAGCACCGCCACCCACCTTATACACAGAAATATTCCCGATAAACAGGTCACCTGATCCTACCCGGAGTTCAGTATTGTTGCCATTTTTGTGTGTTTACACGAGCAGATGCGTATCTTTTCTATGAATCACCACGCTGAAATGTCAAGATTTGCCATAGTTATCCACTGCTAAGAAGTTTCAGTTAGGAAGTCATTCCTCGGGATCCGAGCTTCAAGACAGTTCGCTACATCTGATGGCCTCTGTGATGGGGTAAGGTTGGTCTGGTGTGGTAAGGGGTGAGGGGATGAGACATCTCTAATCAACTCCTCTGTTTTCCTAACCTCCTCAGGCCACAGATCCCATCACCGACTTCTGCTCAGAACAAGGCTTTAACTACTTCCTGACTGAAACTATACAGATAATTCAATTTCACACCTTTCACTTTATCTCAAAATTTCTTCCATGCAGTCTCAGGGGGAGTCATAATCCTGCATAAGGTATCTAGAGGAGCAATGGCACATGGAGGTACTCAACAAATATTAGCTATTATCTAACCTTACTTGCCAACTCAAAAGGCGAAAGAACTCTGAGGGAATTACAAATCTCCTAGATATTCAGCAGAGCTTGCAGAAGCCGCATGGCCATTGGTGCCTTCCAGGGAATTCGGAGCGATGCTTGTCCAATTGAAAAGGCAGACTTCTCCCATAGCTGGCCTCTACCAACTGGTGTTTCAGCTGCAAATATCCAAAGCCTTCTACAATGTGACAAGGTATGATTCCAAATTAATCTCTCACTAGCTCCCCAAATGAACCTTACTCTCTCATTCTGTTACTGGAACACACCCTTGTCCTTTCACCTCCTAAGCCATCATTCTGGAACTCCTATCCTCTTCAATTACTCCACCTGTTCAAATGCCACATCCCTTCCAAATCCTGCCAGCTCAAACAAATCGCTTGCTTTTATGCCTACTATACTGTTTCAACCTTTATTATGAAGCTGAATCGTTACCTTTTGTAAATCCTGTAAATATCTTCTCCCACTGGAATGACAGTTTGTGTGCAGACTACCTTCCTATTTTTTACATATTCCAACGTTTAGCACCTATCTTGCACATAAATGCTCGATACTCACTAGAGTGAGACTCTATCTTAATTCATTATCCCATTCTAACCCCAGGCACCCATATGATTGAAATCTCAAAGATGTGAATTCTTAATTCTGAGCCAGATTCAGCCTTAAGTTAGATCCCTTGTTTTGAACCTAAACACTTCTACAGGTCTAAAACAAGTCCTTTAACAAAAGGAAGACCTCTGAGAATTATTAGAAAGGATTTTTTTCTTACATTGGAATGCTAACTTTACAGACAAAACATTATAATGATTACATACAACAAAATTCAAATGTACCTAAAATTAAAATGAATGCAATATATCTTATAAACTGTTTATCCTTTGCATGTTAAGCTCTAGGCTATGACACTATTCATAGAAAAGGTGTCTTTGAAAATTAGATTATAAATTATAATGTATGGTTATATCATCATCTATGTCTGATAAGACACATTTGAAATGCTTCTCAAATTACATCTTGCTCTAGCCCTGAAGGAAATTAAATCCTTGACAATTCCTGAGAAAACTGAACCAAAAAGAATATTACCAGTCCCATAGTTTTAATCATTTACCATAATTATCAAGTATAGTTTTCAAATTTTAAAAGTATCATTTTAGAAAATTATCTAATCCCTGAAACCTATATAATTTTATGAACCAATTTCAACCCAATAAATTCAACAGTTGTCAGTTCTATACATTAAATCTGTATATTGATGTTTTAGCTTTTAAATAAATGTCATACCCATCTAATTTTTGATTATTTTGTGTGCGTGTATTTTTTTAGCGGAAGAGGGAGAGAGAGATAGAAACATCAATGATGAGAGAGTCATTGATCGGCTGCCTCCTGCACACCCCCTACCGGGGATAGAACCGGAAACCAGGGCACATCCCCTGATTGCGAATCAAACTGTGACCTCCTGGTTCATGGGTCAACGCTCAATGACTGAGCTATGGCGGTCGGGCTGTTTTATACATATATTTTCAGCAACATATTTTCAGGGGATAAAAGCTTTACCAACTATCAAACAGAATACATTCTATTTTTATAAGGCAACAGATTCATATATTTAAAATATATTTTATTAAATAATCTACTTGGAGAATAATTACAAAAGCTTTAAACAGCAATTATAAGTAGTAAAAACAAGTTCCTTTGTTTAATAAAAAGACCAAACAGTCCACATTATGTTTTGCTGCTTTATACACAGGAATGATTTATTTTACAAACTGGTCAGTTTCAATATTAGCCTGTAAAATTAAAAAAGTTCTTAATATGTCTCAAAGGCAGAGTGAACTTTATAATGATATGCTTTCACATTAACCAGTATGACAAACCATAAGAAGTTTAATACCATTGTAACAATTCAAAATAAAATTTACAGAACAGGCACTTTGAAGTCAGCTACTGGGTATAATTCTCACAGATGAATGTTACTTGTACATATCTCAATTCATCAAAGGTTATCAACCAATGAAGAAATTTTCCTTTGATGCAGAAGCACAACACATTTAGGTTCCAAACACTGTGTTCTGGTTGTATACATGCAAGACAGACCCTAAATTAGAAAAATGTTCTGAAAGAAAAATGAAGAAAAACAAATGCAGCCAGGAATGAAAGCATCTACAAGCACTCAAATAAAGCCTTTAAGTGTTAAGTCAGTGTTTTAAACACCTTCATTCTCAGGTAAGGGATTAAGAGGCCGAGACAGAGATTGTCTGCAAGGATGAGGATATTGGAGGTTGGCAGTGTCAGCATCACAAGAGTGCTCTACCAGAAGAGGAGGAGAAGGAGGAGGAGGGAGCTGGGCATAACTGGACCATCTTGATCCAGCCCCTGGGGAGTCCAGAAGGGGAAAAAAATACCTGAAACAATGAAGACAGGAACAAAACACCAAAACAAAACAAACAAAAAAAAAAACAGAAAAAGAAAAGAAAAGAACGAAGATGAAAAAAACAGAAGGAAAAGAGAAAAGTAGTAAATACAAAGAGAACCAAAGGGGGGGGGGAAATGCTGGAAAAAAAGCTTTAGTATAGTCATGCCAAACTAACAGAACATAATATTATGCAAAAATCAAGACCCTTACTTTAATCACACTTGCCTAAGCAAGTATAGAAACTTGAAAGAAAAAACTACAATCTGTTACACTTAAAATGTTAAAAATAATCATCAGCATGAATGTTACAAAAAAGACATTAATTTTATAATTTAAAACATTTTCTAACCTCTCAGACATTTGATGCTATCCTGTAAATTTACAAATCTAATAAGCTTTTTCTTTATTTTAAGTAACACTTCATTTGTCGTAGCAGCTGGCACACATTTCACACTTTTTTAATGTAAACATGATACTGAAAACCAATTCAAACACACTTTCACAAAGTATGGCCAGCTATTGCAACATATTTTCAAAGAAATAAAATCTTTGAATAATCTTAGTTGTTTTCCTGCAAATACTTAGAATAGTACAAAATTTTTATAACTAAAAGGGCTCAAAGAATATGTCCTATCGTCGTTATTCTGATATTTTATAACTTACCCATAATACTTATGCATTTTAGCAAACAGATTTATAGCTTTGTCATCAAGGTCACAGTTCTTTCTATAAGGATATGAACTACATTAAGCAGCGAACTAAATTAAAAAACTTCTGGAATAAGAAATGTGGAAGTTAATATGCATGCACAATTTCAGCAAAATTTTAACTGCTTCTCTTATAGTATGTTTCCAAATTTTGACTTGAAGGAAACTTTAAAACATGGAATCACACCATAAAAATATACAAGCACATATTAGAAACATTTATCTCTTTAGTGAATATGAATCGAAAACTTACAAAGGTGTTTTCATTTTACTACCAAATTATAAATGAAGCAATACCAAATATTTAATTTGGTTACAAACTGTACAGTTTACTTTCATTTTACTACTTCTCTCCCCCTTTACTAATATTTTTAAAATATTACAAAGAAATGACAGAGTTGTACTGAATATCATGTTTAAACCAATTTTACAAAAGTTAAGCAAATTAGCACTCAAAACAATTTTTATGAAAAATACTTATTCAATCTTCAAATTAAAATTATAAAAATTCATCATTTTAGCTTACTGTTTTAGAAAATCAAAAGAAATAAGCCTACATTCTCCAAATGGAATAAAGTGGTATTTTCACTCTTCCCAACTACCATAAGGATGGTAATAATCCTTTCCATTTTAAAGCCCATGTTTCAGGAGCATTTCAAAAAGTTATTTTGATGACACTGTCTCAACAAAAAGCCTCTCCATTTACATTTCAAAAGTTTCAAATAGTGTCAATAAACTGGCTAATACAAAAAAATATTTATATACTGTATTTTTAGAAGCCTTTGGACTGCAATTAGTAGTAAGCAGGCTGCTGGTGTATCTTGGGAGAGGTCAAACGGCGCTGGGGATGGGGAAAAGGAGCTTGCTTTCCATTCCTGTGTGCATGCAACAAGCAGCAAAACAGCAAAGTTACTCCAGTTAGCAGGTACTCAGCTGTGCTTTCTGTTAAAGGACATAGTACAAATGAAGAAGGGAAAAGCATCACAGATCTCACACACATGGTTATTAGCACAATAAGAACAAAGATCAAAATTTCACAGTTCTTTACAAAAGAAAATATGCAATACGAGCAACAACCGAAAACTACATTTTGTGTGTTCTTTTTAATTTACACAAGTATCCTTTGCCTCAAGGAATCATCTTTATAACCTGATATCTGTGGTAATCTGAAATTGTTTTCATGCAAACACTTAAACCACAAAATCAAATAACAAGGCTTCTTTATAAAAATATAACAATATAAAAATAGTTGAGAAAATTTTAAATACAATTCTCTTGATTTCTTTAAGATGACAACAGGATAACCACAAGACAGTGTGTCAAGGCTGTGCTTTGGCGTTCCCTGAATATTCCAACTTATTCAAAAGGCATATGAAAGTAATTTACCATACAAATTCATATATTTGAAATCTGAATATGAAAACAACAGTATGACTCTTTAGATCATGAGAAACATTCTTAATTAAATAAGAATCTAAAATGTTAAATATTCTTAAAAAAAAAAATCAAGTACAAATTACCATTTCTTCTTATAATCTCCATTAGTTTTAAACAAACAAACAAAATTAACTTACTCTGTTCTACAAAGCCTTAATTAATTTATTTAAAATTTCAGTTTGACCAGATTCACTAACACACTAATAATCTATGACTAAAATCCTCAGTATTATCCCATATTTCCTCTTCATCTAAACTTCAGAATACAATTTAGTTTATTTAATGGCCTCAAAACCTACCTGTAAATATTATGAGTAAGGAAGCCAAATATAGAGCTAACAATGTGAGTTTTTTCTAGTGTCATAATTATGGGTGGATTTCTTACTTCAATCTTAAAATCCATGAAATAACACACCTTTAGTATGGCTACCAGAATGATTTAAAAAGAAAACTTATAATTTTTCAATAAAACAGCCTACCTGCCAGCAGAAGATCCATTTAATGAATTTTGAAGATTTGGGATATTTGGACCTAGGGAAGGATTTGGGTTTCCCTGCTGAGAACTCCCATTGACAGGGCTCCCATTACCTTTCAAAATACCAGTACACTTCCAATTGTCCATATAATTAGCTGAAAGGAAAATGTTCAAATACATTAACAAGACTAAAACCTATGCTCAAGGGCACAAATCTATGTTCATGTCCTTAAACTATAATTAAATAAACAAGTGTCCTATAGGCTACATTTCTCAGAATAAATGTTAAAGACATTTTAAAATACAAAACAACTTATCTTAATTTTAACAATTATTTTTTAAAGTCTTAAAAGAATTACTAATTTAAAAAATAAAGCTTTCATTACCCATTTCCCTTCCTCAAAGATAATTCTCTAAGCTGCCACATTATTACATTAAGTTAATATCAAGATAAAATCTTTATCTTCTTTACAATAAATTTCAATTACATGTAAGCGTAGGGTAATAGAGTTGTCTCGGTTATGCAAGTACAAGTCACGTGGGAACCTAATGTCCTCAGAGATGGATGTAGGAAACAAAACCTTTCAGTTTGAGTGGCTTATCCAATATGGCCTAATTCTTTCAATGTAAAACTGGTCACTGGAGACAATGAGCCCAAGGAAACCCAAGTTAGGGAGCCTGCTGGGATAGACCTGGGTGGTCTCACTAAAGCCCAGACACAGGAAAGGGCATAAAGCCTGTGAAATCAAATTACACTGACTTAGCCAAACTGCATTTTGGAGAACAATAACTGCACAGGGTAAATGAACTAACCTATAATTTTTTGGACCCAAGGTATGGGAAATCACTGATTAGAGTGGTGCACAAACCAAAGGCACTTCTGCCCAATGGTTAAATATCTGTGCAAAAGTGCACACCACACGACAGCAACTACAGTGTCAACTAACAAGACCAGTCTCTCTCAGCACGGCATTTCTAAGAAACTTTTAGAATTAGTGGCTCTTGAATTTTGGGGAGACTGCAGATACTGGATTTTCTCCTATTAATAGCTGATTGGCTAAACCAATCATTTAAAAAAATAAGAGAGAACTCTAGTCCTATCCTGAGTTTGCACAAGTTACACATATAACAAATAGTATCTTGGAGATATTGCATATTCTGTTACAGTTACTTTTAGTTTTAAAAGTTGCTTTGTTCCACAGGGAAACTTAAAACAATTCAATTTGTCATTAACTGCTATAGACTAGGTAAACTGATAAAGGTACAAAATAACATAAATTAATATAGTACATAATTTAAAAGTAACTGTGAGCCCAGCCAGGCGTGGCTCAACGGTTGAACATCAACCTAGGATCCAGACGATCGGGGTTCGATTCCCGGTCAGGGCACATGCCCGGGCTCGGTCCCCAGTCGGAGGCGTGCAGGAGGCAGCCGATCAATGACTCTCTCATCATTGATGTTTCTATCTCTCTCCTTCTCCTTTCCTCTCTCTGAAATCAATAAAGATATATTTAAAAAAATAAATAAAAAAAATAAAAGTAACTGTGGAAAGCTCTTTTTATTTGCAAAATATTTAGAGTTTACATTTCTAAGTGCAATTCTAAAGCAGAGACATAAGGCAATAATTCTTCATTGAAACCTTACCTTTCCATAATCTTACGCAGCCATCATCGCCTGAAGATGCTAGTACTGTTCCTGTTATATTCCAACTCACTCGCCAAACCTGAGAATTATGATTATCAAACTGAGCCACTATATGGATTTCAAATTTTGTTGGCCCACCAGAGGAAGTAAGTTCTTTCCTGTTAACAAAAAAATTTTCCTGAGGAATTCTGTAAAAAGGTTTACACATACATACAGATACACACACACACAAAACACACCTACCTAAACAAAAAAATGTTATAGTAATGTACATTCCCATACCCTCCCCCCATTAGCTCACTGGGCCATGTCACGTTCAATTGACTCCACAGTACCTGGCCTGATCCTACCACAAAAAAGATAATGAATGACTGTTTCATAGAAGATACAATAAAAGAGGATTTTATTCCCCCAAATTAGAGGAATACAATATGTGAAATAATTTATTTTAAAGAAAAGCAGTAGGAGCCTGGCCAGGTGGCTCTGCTGGTTGGAGGGTCACCCTGTACACCAAAAAGTTGTGGGTTTGATCCCCGGTCAGGGCACGGGTACAGAAGGCAACCAATCATTTCCTCTCTCACATCGATATTTCTCTTCCTCCCCTTTCTTCCCTCTCTAAAATTAATAAACATAACCTCAGGTGAGGATTTTTTATTTTTTTAAAAAAGCAGTAGGAAGAGAAGAATAGGAGGAGGGAAGGAAAAAAGGAAAGAAAAAAATGACTGAAACTCACAATTCCAAAATTAAAGCTAAAAGGTTATTCATAAGAATGTCTCAGTGCTAATTTAATTTTCCCTTGAACCACTACCTCTCATTCATTCAAACACTTATACTGTAGCAATTATATTCAGAGGATCTAATTCATTGTTAGTATCAGCCTGAATAAAACATACAGTAATTAAGAAAATATAAATCTCTCAAGTCCCCATCCCCCAAAATCATGTATGTATAGATGAAATGTTCATTAAAGAATACGTTCTTCAGATCACAGTTGCCTCTACATTCTCCTCCACAAATGAAAATAATCAAAAGTTATGAACACTTTCAAATTAGTAACTGTTTCAAAAACTCACCTCACAGGCTTTAACGTAAAAATTCTCACATCTTTGGTTGCTATGGCCAGAATGTGATAAGACCTTCCCAGGTTTGGAGCAAATGCTATATCATGGACAGGATCAGTGACTGTCATGAGGGTTTCAGCTTTTGCATATTTCCTAACAAAAAACAATTTACATTAAAAATTCCAGAAATAAAACATTTTTAAATCCACATGTTGACATACCTCAATTATTTTTATATTACTCACAATGAAGTAATCTTTACCTCTACAGTATGTAGTAAATATGTCCAAGTCCTAACCCCTGAAACTGAATGTGACCTAATTTGGAAAAAGGGTCTTTGCAGATATAATTAAAAATCTCGGATGCGAACATTGCCTGGATTTAGAGTAGGCCTTAAACCCAATGTTGAGTGTCCTTATAAAAGACAGAGGGGTAAGACAGAGACATAAAGAAGATAGACAAGTGAAGAAAGAGGTAGAGATTGGACTTAGCTGCCACACACCAAGGAACTCCTGGAGCCACTAGAAGCTTGAAAAGACAAGGAAGGATTTTAGAAGCACAGTCCTGACAACACCTTCATTTCAGATTTCTGAACTCCAGAAACCTAAGAATAAATTTGTTGTAAGTCACCACTTTGTAGTGATTTGTTACTGCAGCCCTAGGATACTTATATAACCTCCTGGGTTTCTTCTGTTGATTTTTTAAGTTTAGCTTAAAATATTTTAAGCAAAACTTATTTAAAATAAGATCCTATTAGCTATTAATATCTTTTTAAAGAAAAGGGTAATTGAATTTCTTAAGTATTTCAGTGGAAATAAAAAAGCTGGTAACAGACAGGAATTGAGGATTTTTAGTGGTGATAAAGCTATCTATACCAAAGTCTACTTTATCCTTACAAGTCTATTTTTGTATCTGCAAATAGAGAATAAGACAATGAAGGAGAAGGCATGTCCGATTTTCCTATTATGTCTTTCTGTCTTCAACTGACTATCAGGGACAGAACTAAAGCACTGTGTGTTGGAGAGGTGGTTAGCTTTCCAGCACGCTCCTCTGAAATACAGGGTGAGGCAAAAGTAGGTTTACAGTTGTTTGTATGGAAAATAACAGCACAATTCATAAATACAAGAATAAACTGTGTTTTGCATACTCACAACTGTAAACCTACTTTTACCTCACCTTGTACTGGTGTTCCTAGCATTCTCTACTTGGCCTTCTTTTCATCCCAACATTCTTTCTGAAATCTCTCTCAGCTGGTTTGCACTTTGAGGTTCCCTCCTTGGCCTCTTCTCACCCTATATGATCACCCTGGACAATCTCATCTATATCCTTGCTTTACTATGTGGTCCTGACTCCTCTATTTGACCTTAGACTAGTCATTTTACTTTGTTGGTGTGACTTTCTACATTTGGAAAATGGTGCTAATATAAAAGCTACCTACCCTACCTATAAGATGGCTGTTAGCATTCAAATTTCATAAGATATGTGAAAGCGCCCTATAACCTATATAAATGCAGGACACCTATATGTATCATTATCAAGGCCAGGTCTGTCTTAATATTTTCATTCACCGATATAAAAATACACAATACCAGTTCATTTGATACTGTTTCCTATGTACTGAATGGTGTCACTTCTTACAAAAAGATCAACTCGGTATTAATAACTTAATGCTACATAGTCTATTATCACGTCCTCCATGTAACATGTTCAATCTATTAAAACCTGCAAACGACTCTTAACTCAAAGAACCAGACCCCCCAAAAAAACAAAAAAGAGCTGAACTCAAATGTCTAATAACTTCCTAAGTCAATCTCTCCCCACCCCCACCACAACACATGCAGACAGTGTTACCTACCCAGTGCCACTTCTCTGTCACACTAAATGCAGAAAATGCCAGGCACATGCTGACTCCCTTGCAGCTAAAGCCTGGACAAGTGACCCAATTCTGGACAACAGGACCCAATGAAAAAGGTGGCTAAGATGCTTCTAGAAAAGTTTTTCTCTTCCTAATACAAAAAGATTCATGAAAGGAAATGCCCTTCTTTATACCTGCATGGGGATCCTGGAACTCTTGTGATCCTAAAGAACTGAAACCAACACAACTAAGGATGACAGGAAAAAAAAAAAAAAATACTAAGGCCCTTGACCTCATCACTGAGCAACTGAGCCACTTAACTAACTCTAGAACTTCTCCATAGCCAGGCTCTCTGTTATGTGAGGTAATACAGGAGATCCAGCCCCTAATCTATATATTTTCTCCTAGGTAAGAGACTCATACCTTTATCACTGGATTATTTTAAGTATTCAGGTACTTTCTATCTGCCCTGTATTTTCTTCCAGAACTAAATCCAAGTCCTTTATCCCTTTACTAAAATCTTATTTATAAAGTACTTTTTATTTTCCTATGTTTTAGAAATGGTCCACCTTTTAAGTTTTAGATTATTCACTCTGTTCAGCTAAGGTCGAAAGAAATTACTTTAAAAACATTAGGTCTTCATGAAGCCACTTTAAAATGTGCTATTAATGTGGTTCATAGCTTTGATAGCTTAAAAGGAGTTCTAAAGGAAAGTTTCTACATTCTAGAAGTGTGCTGGCCAATACAGTAGCCACTAGCCACATGTGCCTATTCAAAATTAAATTAATAAAAATTAACAAATTCAGTTTCTCAGTTGCAGTAGCCACATTTTAAGTTTCAATAGCTGCACATGGCTAATGGCTACTGCATCAGATGTGCAGGTATAAACCATTTCCACCATCACGGCAAGTTCTACTGGACAGCACCTTTGCAGACAGAGCCTCTATGAAGAAATCAAGACTCTAGGAAGGTAGACGGCAGGGATAAGAACCCCTTTAAAACCCAAGTAGTAACATTCTGAATTGCAGAGCCCATAGAAATTATAATAGTCCTTCTCTTCTACTTCTGGCCCCACCCAATATCTGACTACTAGACCCAAGAATTTTGTCTAGCACATGTGAAGCCCAGCCAGTCACCTGGTGGGTGCGCTTTTCTCCTGTAAGTCTGAGTATACCTTTGAGTACACAATGCTTATGGCTCTCAGAGGTGTTACAGATATTTCAACATGACCAAAATTAAAATTTTCTTCACATGCTGCTACACTCTACCCAAATCTGACCTATTTGCAGAACTTTTTATCTCAATAAATTACACACTATGCATTGAACTATTAAGCCAGAACCTTGGAAATCACCTTGATAGCTCTCCCCTTTTTCTTCACCTTCCACATCCAATCACCCACCAGATCCTACTGACACCAATTCTTAAATTATTCTCAAATTGTCCACTCCTCTCCATCCCCATTGCCACTACTCTATTTCAAAGCCACTATAATCTTCCCCCTGGACTATCATCACAGCACCCTAGCCCTAAATCCACTCATGTCACCTTCCAAAATACCTTCCACACCTACAGAAGAGTTAAACTATCGTTTGATCCTTTTATGCCCCAATTTAAAAATCTTTCATTGGCTTCATATTACCCTTAAAATAAAACCTAAACACTGAGCATGAGGTCTTGCAGACATAAGCCTTGCATATTTCTCACCACACTTCTCTGTGCTTATGTTCCAAACACAGTAAAAAATATATTGGCTCTCTTGTTCAGGGACCTTATCACATGCAGTTTTCTCCATCTGGAATTTTTTGCCCTCTTTGGCTAATTTCTACTCATCCTACAGGTTTGCTTTTGGGTAAACCTTCCTGGTCCACTCCCCCTGGGTGTAAACTCTTAACATCCTGATTCTCCTGGTTTATAAAATCCATCACCACTTTTTACTCTCTTGTTTGTTTTCCCTACAAGATGGTACATACTGGGAAATCAATTACCTTGTCCTCTGTATCATTCAATTTTATATTATCACAGTTTATCAGGACACAGCATATCATGGGAAATCAGCAAGTATGTAATAAATAATGTGTAATTCTGCTAATGAATAAAGGATAACATTTCAAATAATTACATGCAATTTGGAACAATACATAAACCAAAGTAGTACTGACCTGGTGTTTTCATTATATTCGAAAATCTGAACTTTGGCCATTGCATTTGGACTACTGTCATCACTTCCTACAGCTATCATGGGGGAATGAGCACGAGAGCTAGAAATGAAAAGTAAGAAATATTCCATGTAATGATTAAATTAACTATATTTAATTCAGAGAATTTTAAAAAACTGACATCAAGCAGCTCTAGAATCTACAAGTCTGCAAGACTGTGATTAAATCCCTGTCACACATTCAACACAGCATCACCTTGGGAGGGTGTGTCCTTGAGAATGTTCAACATGAGGACCAAGGATACCATCCTTTCGTATTGTTTTTACATTTTATTATAGCTGAGAAAGAAAATTGCTTTCTTTCAAATAAGAAAAGGTTTCAAACATTCAGTAGATTTTTTAAAAACTACCTACAAGGTCTTCAAATTTTTATTCCTGAAAGACCTGGTCATTAACTATGGAATGAAAAGTAACTCTGTGGTTACTAAATTCACAACAAAAAGATGTTAAGTGCTCTGTACAAAAAGAATAAACCCCTCAAGAAGGCATATTCCCATACTCCCCAAATGTCATTCTCTTCTCTAGACTTATTTTAAAAGGCAAAAAGATGAGCAATGAGAGAATGAACTCTACTGAACTCTAGGCTAAATCACTTATTTCTATTTAATTAAATATCTAATTACCCAGATCAATATCTACGTTTCTTTTGCCTCCCTCAACCAGATTAAGTAATATTTCAATGAACATGACACCCTTGTTTAATCTTTGACCTTGGTATGGCAATTTGCCAACTCATAAAGCTGAAAACAAAATGTAGTAATAAGAAAAAAACAAAAAATTTAGTTCTTTATTACTAAAGCTTGATTACTAAAGCTTCTGATAATGAATCAAGTTGCCTAATAAAAGAAAAGTACCAGGTAAACTGCAAAGTTCTATAGTAACAAAATAAAACAAGCTATTTATAATAGTTCAAATAGATGTAAATTCCATAGTAATTTCTATATCTCACTCTTTTTTAATGTTCCACAAATATAACTCAGAAACATTCAAACACATGGAGATTAAATAGCTTATTATTAAACAATAAATGAATCACCAATGAGACCAAGGCAGAAATCAAAAACATCCTGGAAATAAACAGAAACAAACACACAACAATCCAAAATCTATGGAACACAGTGAAAGCAGTCCTGAGAGGGAAGTTCATAGCATCACAGGCTACCTCAAGAAACAAGAAAAACATCAAATAAACAATCTAACCCTACAACTAAAAGAATTAGGAAGAGAACAATAAGAAAAGCCCAGAGTAAGTAGAAAGAAGGAAATAAGAAAGATCAGAGCAGAAATAAATGACATAGAGACTAAAAAAAAACAAATACACACACACCAAAAAAAAAAAAAAATCAATGAAACCAAGGGCTGATTCTTTGAAAAGGTAAACAACACTGATGAACCTTTAGCCAGGCTCACCAAGAAACAAAGAGAGAGGACCCAAGTAAATAAAATCAGAAATGAAAGAGAAGTAACAATTAACATCACAGAAATACAAGGATTCTAAGAAAATACTCTGAACAACTATATGCCAACAAACTGGACAACCTGAGCAATATGGACAAATTCCTGGAAACATACATTCTGCCAAAACTTAATCAGGAAGAATCAGAAAACCTAAATAGGCCCATAATAATTAATGAAATTGACAAAATAATAAAAAAAACTCCTAGCAAACAAAAGCCATGGACCAGATGACTTCATAGGTGCGTTTTACCAGACATTAACACCTATCCTCCTCACACTATTCCAAAAAATTCAAGAAGAAGGAAGACTTCCAAGCTCTTTTTACAAAGCCAGCATTATACAAATTCCAAAACCAGATAAAAACACTACAAAGAAAATTATAGGCCAATATCCCTGATGAACATAGATGCTAAAATCCTGAAAAAAATATTAGCAAATCAAATTCAGCAATACATTAAAAAGATCATATACCATGGCCAAGTAGGATTTATTCCAGGGATGCAAGGATGGTTCAATACACCACATAAACAAAATGAAAGATAAAAAACACATAATCATATCAATAAACATAGAAAAAGCATTTGGCTTCGCTAACTGGAGCATAGTCCTGTGCACTAAAAGGTTGTGGGTTTGATCCCTGGTCAGGGCATGTACCAGAGGCAACCGGTAAATATTCCTCTCTCACATCGATGGTTCTTTCACTCTCTCCTCCTTCCTCTCTCTCTCTAAAAATCAATAAAAACATATTCTTGGGAGAGAATTTAAAAAAAATTACCAATTTGTTTCACTAGGATTAAATTATCAGAAGTTTGCTATGCAAGCTTACCTTGAAGGGTTCCATGAAATACAACTACAGCTTAGCTTACATGAGATCTCATGTTGCAGAGACCACTGACTGAGATTCATGACATCTGGTGCCTCATATATTCTTACTATACCATCCGCTGAACAGGTTGCTAACATAAGACCCATATGCTTAGGAGCAAATTTTACATCAGTAACAGATGTTCTGCTATCCACTAGCGTTGTCCTCTTAACCTGAAAAAGAAAAAATTAATTTAAATTATATACAGTAGTTCCCTTCTTATTTGTGTTTTTGCATTCTGTGGTTTCAGTTACCAGCAGTGAACCACAGTCCGAGAATATTAAATGGAAAATTCCAGGAATAAACAATTCAGAAGTTTTAAATTGGGCACCATTCTAGTAGCAGAATGAAATCTCTCAGCGTCCAGCTCAGGACAGGGATCATCCTTTTATCCAGCATATCCACATCACTTCATCTCATCACGTAGGTGCTGTTTTATCTCACATCATCACAAGAAGAGTATAGTACAATGAGATATTTTGAGAGACCACATTGACAGAACTATTATTACAATGTATTGTTATAATTATTCTATTTTATTATTGTTGTTTATCTCTTGTTGTGCCTAATTTATAAGTTAAACTTTATCATATGCATGTATGTATAGGAAAAAGCATAGTATATATTGGGTTTGGTACTATCCAGTTTCAGGCATCCACTAGTGGTCTTGGAATGTATCTCCCATGGATAAAGGGAGACTACCATACCAAAAAATAAATAAAAAATGGATTGTACAATGGAAAGAATACAGGCTCTAAAATCACACAGAACTGCTGTTGTCATTTACTAGGATATATTATCTTGAATAAGTTATTTAAAACCTACCTGGCCTCAATGTTCTCCAAAGCACTTGGCAAAATACGACATAAACACCTGGCAATCAGTAACAAATTAGTGACCAATAATTAATTACTCTATTTAGGGCAGAAAAAAGTAGGCCTTAGAAGGTGTAACTATTAAGTTACGTAAGTGGACTGGTCACTAAACCATAAAATGTTAGAATTTTCATATACGTAGTTCTGTCATGCAAAGTATGCTACAAGCAGTAAATTAAATGAATTAAGATTCTTTAACAGTAAAATGGAAGACATGCAACTTCCTTCCTCAAGCATCATGTCAGTTAACCCTACTTGGACCATCACTATCCATTTTTAAGAGACAGCATGTAGTAGAGACCAAGAGAACAGTATAAAGCTGGCTTTGTGATAATTACAGAATTCCACGACAGCATTTATAAATTATTTTCTGGCACCTAAATAAGATTATTTTTGACTGCAAACATCAATAAAATTTAGAAACCAACAGTTTACTATCTATGGTTATCAAAATACATCTTAAGGACAGTCAATATTAGTATTAAAAGAGTATTACATAAACTTCAAGGATACCATCTTTGCAAACTTTTGTCTACAAAAATCACTGAATAACACCAACACAAATACTAAAATATTAAATTTATTAATGACAATTAACTAAATATAAATAAATATACCTAAGTTCAAATAAAAACCCTTTATTTGGCACCACTCCCAAAGCCAGTCAAATTGTATACTAACTGATCCATCTCAGACCAACTGCTAGAAAAAGCACTTCTATAAATTTCCCTTCTTTCCTCCTAAGCAGTTGTTTGCCTTAGGGAAGCCTTAGTACAAAGGCCATGAGACCAACCCCTTCCATTATAAAAAAAGAATTGTAAAACAGTTTAAATAGCATACAAGCTACAAACCTACAGTAATTAAAACAGTATGGTATTGGCATCAGAAGAGACATATAGACCAACAGAACAGAGTTCAGAAATAAACTCGCTATATATAATCAAGTGATTTTCAATGAGGGTGCCAAGACCATTCAATGGGGAAAGGAGTCTTTTCGACAAAAGGTGCTGAGAAGACTAGATACTAAATACAAAGGACTAGACCCTTACCTTAGACCATATACAAAAATTAACATAAAATGAATCAAAAACTAAAATGTAGGAGCTGAAACTACAATATTCTTAAAAGAAAATTCTGAGGAAAGTGTTCATGACATTGGATTTGGCAATGATTTCTTGAGTATGACACCAAAAACAGAAAACAAAACAAAAAAATAGATAAACTGGACTTCATGAAAATTTCAAAATTTTGTGCATTGAAGGACACTACAAAGAGAGCGAAAAGGCAACTAACAGTTTGAGTCTTGCCTCTGAATTCTTTCTTAGCCAGAACTCAAGTACTGAGGTTGCTGAAAGGCGGTCTGGTCTGACCCCACCCACCTGATGCTGTTCTTTTTACATCCTTTTTAAGATGTGGAATATACCCAGAAGGATACACAAAAAACTTGTAATAGTGGTTGCCTCTAGAAAAATAACTGTATGGCCAGAAAAGAGGAAGTTCTCCATGTATACACTTGTCTGTACCTTTTGAATTTTATACCTGTGCCTGAATATCTTTTATGAAATATAAAGAGGGAAAAAACAAGAAAACATTGGAATGGGTTTTAAAAGCAATAGAGTTCAATTCTCTCACTTTACAGACACGAAACTTGAACAGCAAACACACTATGCCTAAATTCAAACACCCAATCAGGGAAGAGCTAGAGTTAAAGCAGAATCAGATGAAAGAAAGAAAAAGTAACCACAATAGAGAAAAAACAATTTTTAAAGAATTTTAGTGTACTCTATGACAAAGCAAATACTCTGGATTCACCATTAAAGTTAAACAATGCCATGGGTACTCTTAAGTACCATTTCAGGCCCAAGAAAAAAATGAGATAAATAGAAAAACGGGGAGAAAGAACAATGAAACTGGTAAACATAGAGGGGAGTGGTAACACCTTATGAAGTGCCTGAAGTGTTCTTGGAAAGCCTAATGCTCCTTGGATGCTCATGACCCCACATTTCCCAAAAACCATGAAATACCTCACCCAATGACTCTGTCCTCGCAGTTTGTCATTTGATTCTCCTACTATTTCCTCCCATACAGCAGCTGTTCGGTCAAAAGAGCAGGAAGCCAAAACCTGTCCAAATTCAGGATGAGCCCATGTCACACGCCACACAGATCCACTATGTGTCTGAGGAATTAAAAACAAAAAACTGAGCTTATTCATTTCACACACATAAGGTTTTACTTAAGGAAACAGAATACAGATATTTTTACTTTCAGTAAGAGGAGGAAACTATTCAATTTAATATTTAAATAAAAAGATAAATTCTAAAACTTTTTAACTTAAGGATATTCTATATTTAGAATTGCAGCTTTCTGGAGTCAAGTTTTTCAAACATTTTACTAATAAAGAAAAATCAAGCTGGATAAAGTTGACCTCTTCTAGTGCTAATAGAGACCTGCTTCAGAGTTTAGCCTAAACAAGCTTTTAAACAGAGACTCTACCAGTCCACTAATTTTGCAAAATATATCTATAGGAAACATCCACCTAATAAATAAGATTAATCAAAAGTATTTGCTTCAAAAGCCTAATAGTATATAGACATATAGCAACAAAATACTTAAGTGATTCTGATGTCTGTCTAGACAATGGACTCTTCTAGGAAGAGAGGCAATGGGTGAGCAAATACAGAAAAGTCCAAATCCTTATATTCTGAGAAGATAATTTAAAGCTCAGTAGCAGTATTTTTGTTTTAAATATATCTTTATTGATTTCAGAGAGAGGAAGGGAGAGAGAGAGAGAGAAACATCAATGATGGGATGGAGAGTCACTGATTGGCTGCCTCCTGCATGCCCCCCACTGGGGACAAGCCCACAGCCCTGGCATGTGCCCTGACAGGAACTGAACTTCGATCTCCTGGATCATAGGTCAATGCTCAACCACGTTGGCTGAGCAACGCTGGCTGAGCAGTAGCAGTATCTTTACAAGGGAAAAATTTCAAATTACTATTCTTCAACTCTTCACATTGATAAAATAAAATTTAAAAAAAAAAAACAATAAACAGAAAGGTCTTAAAGAATTTCACATCTATAGACTTTCATTTGTGCTTTCCAGGAAAAATACTGTATAACAACAAACATCAGTCCACCCATCATGTTTACAAAATTTGTTTCATGCTTCTGCATATCTAACACTTTTACACTCAACAATCTCAGAATACTTTCATAATCTGTTAACTTCTACATAACAATATCATCACTCAAAGGTAAACCTTACACCCTTAGTTTTTATTCTTTGTTTTCTCTAGTTTTTTTCTTGTTTCACCTTTAATTTTTATTTATATAGGCTATTAAGTAAAAAGATATGCTAGGGCAGATGTTAAATGTCAGATTCCCAGTAAAGCACAATCTAACTGAAGAATAAAAATTGCACACAGATGTTCATCACAATAAATTAGTTAAGCAAAACAGAGTATAGTATTTATTGGTATGTTTATGTTTCTAAAAAGTCTTTGAAAACACTCCAAAGTACTTATGAAATATGCTGTGAAACTAAAAAGCAAAAAATAGGGATTTCCTTTTGGAATGATAAAGCTTTGGAACTTGACAGAAGTGACAGCTGTACAACGCTGTCAATAGGGTAATGCCACTGAACTGTTTACTTTAAAATAATACATTTCATGTTGTATGAATCTCACCTCAATTTAAAAAAGGGAAGCCCAGCCGGGTGTGGCTCAGCGGTTGAGCATCGACCTAGGATCCAGGAGATCAGTGTTCGATTCCCGGTCAGGGCACATGCCCAGGTTGTGAGCTGCAGCCGATCAATGACTCTCTCATCATTGATGTTTCTATCTCTCTCTCCCTCTCCTTTCCTCTCTCTGAAATCAATAAAGATATATTTATAAAAATTTTTTAAAAAGATTTTAAAAAAAAATAAAAAAGGGAAGAGGGCAAAATATTTGGAAAGACACTTCACCAAAGATTTATGAATGGCAAATAAGCACATAAAAACTTAACATCTTTAGTCACTAAGGGCATGTAAATCAAAGCCCAATCAGATACCACTTACACCAACTAAGATGGCTATAACCAAAAAAATAAATAAGAGAGAAAAAATATATCAAGTGTATGGGAGGATGGACAGAAACTGGAACCTTCACATATTTCTTGGTGGGAATATTAAATGGTGCAGGCACTTTGGAAAAGAGTTTGGCAGTTTCTTAGAATGTTAAAACATACAACCCAGCCATTCCACTCCTCCATATCTACCTAAGAGAAATAAAATGTAGCCCAGCTGACATGGTTCAGTGGTTGAGCATGGACCCATGAACCAGGAGATTGTGGTTCGATTCCCAGTCAGGGCACATGCCTGAGTTACAGGCTCCAATAGGAGGCATGCAGGAAGCAGCCGATCAATGACTCATCGTTGATGTTCCTATCTCTCTTTCCCTCTCCCTTCCTCTCTTTGAAATCAATAAAAATATATTTTAAAAAAACCACAGTGAAAAATGTAAAATTCCTTTTTTAGGAAAAGAAGTATAAATTTTATAATTCTCCCAAAGCTGAACAGCAAGTCACTGATACTCCCAAATAGATAGTAAACAATTTTTTTTAATTATTGTAAAAAATACTAACCTTCCAGCTAGCAGTACAATGCCAATCTCCACTTTCACTTTTATCCCAAACCTATAAGAAATTAAAAGACAGATATTTTATACACAGAATTCCTAAAAATTAATATGAAAAACATTAAGATTATATCAGTATTAGGGCAAAGGTGGTGAATATGAATTCACAAGAGAATACAACCAATAAGCAAACATTCATCCACTTAAATATTTATTGAGAGCCTTAGATGTATCCGGCACTGGGCTAAGCACTTGGAGGGGTCAAGGAATCTGAGCTCTAATAGGTAATAAAGACTATTCCAATTACAGTCAAGTCTTATTATTCAAGGTGGTTATGGTCTCTATGTTCCCACAAACACTGAATTACCAAATACTGAACCATTGCTCCTAAGAAAAATAAAAGGTGAGATTCATAGGAGCTTCTGGTCACAACATATTTGTTAACCAATCAATACACAACCTTGTTTTATGTGTGTATCTGTTTAAAGACATCTACTTAGTATATATTATTGATTCATTAACACTGAACTCAAAGCCAACATCACTATAACTCATACCTCAATGAAGTTTCCTCAAACACACACATTTTCTCCCTAGAGCACATCACAGCCTTTGTGCACCTAGGAACACTAGGCAGCACTTCGGCACTGTGCTTGGGCACCATTCTAGGCAGTGATGTCACCAATGAAAAGAACAAAAATATGAAAAATGTGATGATAAACAGACAATGAGAAGGACATGTTTACAGTATGAGAATCAAAATAAGAGGAGTGTCACCCTGTTGGACCTCAACTGGGAACTTGTAAAAGGAGCAACTCCAATTTTTTGCCCCTCTGCTCATGTCAGCAAAATAACAGTATTGATTTTGGGGTTAACATAAATTTTAGAGGGTAAACAAATTCACAAATACACAATCTGCAAATAATGAGAATCAACTATACATGTAACAAACAAAACCAAACTATTGAACCTTACCAACAACAAAAAATAAAGATTACAATAACAAGATGACATTTTAACCTGTTAAAATATGTAATAATAAACAGTATGGTGTCTCCTCAAAAACTAAAAATAGAAATACCATATGACCCAGCAATTTTACTCCTGGGCATATACCCAAAAAGTGTTAAAAGCAGGGTCTCACAGTGGTATCAGCATCATAGCAGAGTAAGAAGACCTCTTGGTCTCTCCCTTTGAGGTTCCAACAAATCAGACAACTATAATTCAACAAAGGAGTCCCTGCTTAACACACAAACATTTCTGAGAGATCCATTCACTGAGACATCTGCAGGTGGACATATGGAAGTGAGGAGTGGAGGAAAGGGATGGCAGCCCTCATTTGGCAGGCCAGAGAGGGGGGCAGAGGTAGCATTCCAGCTTGAGTGGCCAGCACACACTGCAGCTGAGTCCAGTGACGGAGGCAAGAAGCAGTGCAAAGGTGCGGGAGCTGCAAACTGACAGCCACCATTATCAGGTATATGCCCAGGAGTAAAAAAACAAAGCTGCATGAATCTCTCCCGGCTGTAGCTGAGAGGGTAGCAGTGGCACTGTCAGAATACAGCCTCACTTAGCAGCCTGGAGAAGGCCAAGAGGCAGAAGCAACATTCCAGCCTAAGTGGCTGATGGGCAGTGCAGCTAAATCCAGTTGAAAAAAACAAAGGCAGACTCTGGCAAACCTACCTCCTCTCGCCCACTCCTCCCCTACTCATTGTGAGGAAACCCAGTAGAGGCCGCTGGAACACCTTAGACAGTACAGTACAGATAGCAGCCTCTGTCTGTAGGGAAGCAGGGCTAAGAAATCACAGGCCTGAAGCCCCACCATCACATCCCACCATAGAAACAGTGCCCAGAGACAGAGGTGATCCAGTCACAGAGCACCATCTAGTGGAAAACCAAAGAAAGACCTCTACTTATCACCGCTACATTGTTAAAGCAAAACAGTATCTAAAAAGGATTTCGATTCTTCAATGCCTAGGCAGAGAAATAATCCATCAGATATCACAAATAAGCAAGGTAACAAGATAGCTCAGAAAGAAAATTAAAGTCTCCAGAAAACAAACTCAAAGACATGGGGGATTATGATTTAAATGACAGTGTATTTAAGATTGCAGTTCTGAAAAAATTCAACAAGATACAAGAAAACTCAGAAAGGAAGTTCAATGAGATCAGGAATAAGTCAATGAACAAAAGGAGTACTTTACCAAAGAGACTGAAACTATAATAAAGAATCAAACAGAAATTCTGGAGCTGAAGAACTGAATAAATAAGATGAAGAATGAATTAGAGAACTTAGGTAACAAACGAGATGGAAAAAGAATTAGTGATCTCGAAGATGGAATTCTAGAAATGACTCAGGTGGAAGAACAGAGAGAAGTGAGAGTTTTAAAAAAAAAAAAAATGAAAGAACTCACAACAACTGTTTGACTCCATTAGAAAGAACAATATAAGAATAATGGGTAGGAAAAAAAATAATAATAATAATGGGTAGGTCAATGATGTGTTCGCATGTATTACCTGAATTAAAGGCTGATGTGTGGTAACACTAGCTCTAGAATTACGCTGAGACCTTGAGGAGGGGAAAAAAATGGGGATACCAGAAGGAGAAGGGAACAGAGTCTAATCTAACAAATAATCGATGAGAGCTTTCCAAATCTATGGAAAGAGATGGACCATCAAATCCAAGAAGCCAACAGAACACCTAAATATCTCAATCCAAAAAGACCTTCCCCAAAAATTCTTTCATTGTCAAATTTAATGACAAAGAAAGAATTCTCAAGGCAGCCAAGGAAAACTGTAACCTATAAAGGAAATCCCACTAGACTATCATTTTTCTTTTTATCCCAGCAGAAACCTTACAAGCTAGGAGCAAGTAGAAAAAAAATATTCAAAATATTGAAAGAGATAAATCACCAGCCAAGAATATATATCCAGCAAAGTTATTCTTTAGATATGAAGGAGAAATAAAGGCTTTTTTCCACACAAACAAAAGCTTACAAAATTCACCACCACAAGACCTGCAGTACAAGAAATGTTGAAAGGAGCTCTTCTACCTGAAACAAAAGGACAAAAGAATACAAAAATGTGAGTAAGATCAAAACAAAGAGACAGAAGCAGGAAACTGCAACTTTATTTCAGAATAGCATATTAAACAATTATAACATAAAGGTTAAGAGGGATAAAGTATTTTTTAAAAGACTATAGCTTCTGCAATTTAAAAATAAACACACAGCGTAAAAAGGGATATGTGACAACAAAAACACGTAATGGCAGGACAAAAAGGATTGAACTTGCACAGGTGAACACACCCAAAAAGAAATTACAGACTGCTATCGCTGATAAACACAAATACAAAAATCCTAAACAAAATACTAGCAAATCGAACATAACAATACATTAAAAAGATAATATATCATGATCAAGTGGGATTCGGTACAGAGATGCAAACATGGTTCAACATACACAATCAATCAGTGTGATACACATTATGCCACATTAACAAAAGATAAAAATCATGTGATCATGAAGAGGGGCACGGGCACCCTGCGGCCTGACCGGAAGTCATCGGCTCTGCAGCTGCTGCCACCAGCAATACCGTGGCTAAAAATATGTAATTAATTAATTAATGAAAATAAAATTTAAAAATCACATGATCATATCAATAGATGCAGAAAAATCATTTGACAAGATACAACATACATTTATGATTAAAAAACTCAATAAAATGGACAAAGAAGGAAAGTACCTCAACATAATAAAGGCCATATATGACAAACCCTCAGCTAATACACTCAATGGTGAAAAACTGAAAGGTTCTTCTCTAAGATCAGGAACAAAACAAGAATGCCTACTCTTGCCACTGTTATTCAACATAGTACTGGAAGTCCTAGCCAGAGCAATCAGGCAAAACAAAGAAAAACGCATCTGAAGTGGGAATGAAGAAGCAAAATCATGTAACTATTTGCAAATGACATGATTCTACATATAGAAAAAACAAAACACTCCACCAAAAGACTATTAAAAACAATACATAAATATAGTAAAGTTGCAGGATACAAAATCAATGTACAAAAGTCCACTGCCTTTCTATATACTAACAATGAAACATTAGGTAATAAAATAAACACTCCCATTTGCAACTGCAACAAAAAGAATAAAATTCCTAGGAATAATCTTAAGAAAGTGAACGACCTATCCACTGAAAACTATGAAACACTGTTGAAAGAAATGGAAGACACAAAGAAATAGAAAGATATTTCATTTTCATGGATTAGAAGTATTAACATAGCTAAAATGTCCATATTACCTCAAGCAATATATAGATTTAATGCAATCCCCAGCAAAATCCCAATGGTATTTTTCAAAGAAATAGGACCAAAAAATCCTCAAATTTGTATAGAACCACAAAAATCCCAAATAGCCAGAGCAATCCTGAGGAAAAAAAGAACAAAGCTGGAGATATCAAACTCCCTGAATTCAAAATATACTACAAAGCTACAATAATCAAAACAATGTGATACTGGCAGAAAATGGACACACAAACCAGTAGAATGGCGTTGAGAGCCCAGAAATAAACCCACATGTACACGGACAACTAATTTTTAAAAATTCATCTTTATTGTTGAAAGTATAACAGATGTCCTTTTTCCCCCCATCATAGACAACTAATTTTTGAAAAAGGAGCCAAAAGCATACTAAGGATAAAGGAAAGCATTTTCAATAAATGGTGCTAGGAAAATTGGAAAGCCACATGCAAGAGAATATAACTAGAGTGCCATCTGACACCATGTACAAAAATTAACTCAAAATGAACTCCGAATGAAGTAAAGACTTGAATATAAGACCTTAAACAATAAGATACATTGAAGAAAACACAAGTGTTACACTTATGGACCTTGGTCTCAAGAAGTTTTTGTGAAATTGACCCCAAAGGCAAGGGAAGTAAAAACAAAAATGAATGTGACTACATCAAATTAAAGAGCTTCTGCACAGAAAAAAAAACCATCAACAAAACAAAAAACCAACCAACTGAATAGGCGAAGATAATTTACAAATGATACCTCCAAAAAGGGGCTAATATCCAAAATATATAAAGACCTCAAACAACTCAATAAAACAATCCAATTAAAAAATAAGCAGAACAAAAATAAAAATTAAATTAAAAATAAAAATAAATAAATAAATAAGCAGAGGACCTAAGCACTTTTCCCAAAACATACAGATGGCCAACAGATATATGAAAAAATGCTCAACTTTAAGGAAAATGCAAACCAAAACTACAATGAGATACCACCTGTTAGAATGCCTACTATCAATAAGACAAGAAATAACAAGTGTTGGAGAGGATTTGGAAAAAAGGGAACCCTCATTCTCTGCTGGTGGGAATGTAAACTGGTACAGCCTCTATGGAAAACAGTATGGAGGTTCCTCAAAAAATAATAGAGCTACCATATGACCCAGCAATCCACTCTCTTCTGAGTATCTACCTGAAAATTTTGAAAACATTTATTTGTAAAGATATATATACCTCTACGTTCACAGCAACATTATTCACAGTAGCCAAAGCATGGGAACATCGTAAAAGTGTCCTTCAACAGATAGCTGGATAAAGAAGATGTGATACATACATACAACAGAATACTACTCAGCCATAAGGAAAAATAAAATGCTGCCATTTGGAGGAACATGGATGGATCTTGAGAGTATCATGCTAAGCGAAATAAGTCAGACGAAAAAGGACATGAAACATATGATTTCACTCATATGTGGAATATAAAAAAGAAAGCAACAAGCGAACCAACAAAACAAACTCACAGGCACCAGGAAAGAGTATGGTAGTTACCAGAGGGAAGGGAGTAAGGGGAGGAAAATGAGGGTGAAGGGGGTCAAATACATGGTGACAGGAGCGCCAGGACTTGGGTAGTGAGCACACAATGCAGAACACAGATGATGATGCATAGAACTGTACACTTAAAACTTACATAATGTTATCAAATTTATTGCACCAATAAATTTAATTTAAAAAACAAATAATAAAAGGCAGAGTCTCAGAGAGATATTTGTACACCCACATTCATAGCAGCATCATTCACAATAGCTAAAATGTAGAAGCAGCCCAGGTCCATGAACAGATAAATAAGCAAAATGTGATATACACAATACATATAGAATAGCCTTAAAAAGGAAATTCTGACATATGCCACAACGTTCAAAGACATTACACTAAGTGAAATAATCCAGTTACAAAAAAGACAAATGTATGATTGCACTTACATGAGATACCTAGAGTAGTCAAATTCAGAGGCAAAAAGGTGGTTTCCAGGGGCTGGGGAATGGGGAGTTATTATTTAATGGGTATAGGGTTTCAGTTTTGCAAAATCAAAAAGTTCTGGAGGTGGATGGCTACAGAAAGATATGAACGTACCTAATACCACTTACTGTACACTTAAAAATGGGTAAGATGGTAAATTTTATATTATCTATATTTTACCACATAAAAACATTTAAACAGAAAAAATGTAATGATAATGCCCAACATGAAAAATGATACTATCAAATCAATACTCTCACTGGCAATTTGCCAATTATTCTCAAATGCTTTTAAAATATTCACTATTTTCTTTACTGGAATGAGCCTAAGGAAATTACCCAAAATATATAAAAAGCTAAATTAATGAAGATCTTCATTGCAACACTAACAGACAAAACCTCCAGTATGAAAGATCTACTAGATGATTCAGTAATAAGTGGATAAGAAAAAGAAAAAATGTAACTGCCTATACAATTAATATTTTGTTTGCCATTCATCCATCTACCTTTCTGCCATATTTACAACAGCAAAAATGTAAATGGAAGAATGGATAAACAAAATGTGGTGTATACATATAACAAAATATTATTCAATCTTAAATTCTGATACATGCTATTAATAGGAACCCTGAAAACATGTGAGATAAACCAGACATAAAAGGACAAATATTGTATGATTCCGTTTATATGAAGTACCCAGAATAGTCAAATTTACAGAGAAAGAGAATTAGAGGTGACCAGGGGCTGGGCGCAGAAGGGAAGAGGGAGTTGCTATGTACAGTGTCTGCTGAGGTTGAAGAAAAGCTCGGGAGATGTACAGAGGTGGTCATTGCACAATGTGAATGTTGTGCTTAACACCACTGAACTGTAAATGTACACTTTAAAATGATAAGTTTACCACACACAGAAAAATAATTCTAAAAAGTTATTCCAAACCGTTTACAAGTTATGTTTTATCATTCGATGGATTTGGTGGCACTACCCTTTTTCAAAAAGGAAAAGTAGTTATAACTTTGAGGGAATCACAGGTATCAAACTTGACTATGAAAAACAAGGAGTAAATAATGTCCTTCAGATTTTCAGTTATCTTGGCGTTGTCGAGAATGCAAATCATCCACACTTCAGCTTTCATCTTTTCAAGTCTATTACCATTTACCCTGTATCTCTGAGGTTCCTAAATCCCAAATATCATCCTCGTTCACAGAAATTCTGTTAGAGCGGTATCAAGAGCTTTACATGAACTTTAAGGAACACTCCAGCCCAGCCCGGCGCGGCTCAGCGGTTGAGCGTTGACCTAGGATCCAGGAGATCGCGGTGTGATCCGGTCAGGGCACAAGCCCGGGTTGCCGGCTCGATCCCCAGTCGGGGGCCTGCAGGAGGCAGCCGATCAATGATTCATCATTGATGTTTCTCTCTCTCTCCCTCTCTCCTTCCTCTCTCTGAAATCAATATAGATATGTTAAGAAAAAAGAAACACTCCAATTACTAAATAGTAAGTAGAGAACTTCATTGGATGTAAATGGATTTTGTATTTTTCTTTCATCACGAAGCAAGGGGAGCCTCCCATCTGAACACAAGCCGCGAAACCTCCCCAGGTGAGGGATGAGGTACACTGAACTTGAGAACGCACCGCGAACTGACTGCCCTACAGGTTCCAAGGCACAGTCCTCTCACTGACCAAGCGTAGTAACTAAGTGCAGCTACAGACGGCAATCCGTGGACCGACAAACCCCTACTAAAAACTAAGCTGAGGAAGCTCCCTGGCTCGCGCCCACAAGGACCCGACCGAGCACTGGCGGGAAACCCGCGGGCTCGCAGTGTCGTCGCCCCCCCCC